TCGCTTCTAGCTCACGTGCAAGGTCACTAGACTTGGGAAACGTCAGTCCTGAATCGTTCAGCAATACTCCACATATTGGTTTGTTACCGAAGTTGCGATATGTTGCCTTCCGCTTTCGTGCTTTTGATGTAGCCGTTCTATGTCTCTTTGCTGTCGAATCCTTCGTTGTTCTTGCAGACCCGACTGTCTATTCAGGATTTCGAGTTGTGAGTTCAATATCTTCGTCTGTGCTTGGATCGTGGACGTGGATATCTTCAACGATTCGATCGCACTGCGAAGGTCTTCGTCCAAGAATGGTCGTGTCGCGGCAAGATCTGGGTCGGATATGATGTTTTGCAAGGCGCCCGAATTCTCCAATGTTGTGAGACTTTAGAAGATACAGTTAGCAACAATTGACTATCGCTTCAAAATAGAGAGAATTAGAATTCAACGGGGTGAGAATGGGAAACATACAGTGTAAGCTCCTCCTGCGAAAGCAGCGTGTCAAGTCCGATGTGCTCCTCCACCCATTGAATGTTCTCAACATTCTTGTTGTTGTCAATCAAAGCCGACTCGACCTCATTCCGATTGATTGGAAGTTTGCGATCCTTGAGAGCGCCAATAACTCTGTCCGCTGGGATGACTGCGGTCTCCTTTTCCATTGTTTTGATATGCTTGGGTGCGGAAGAGCGAACCGTCGTGGAATCGCGCTTAAGCTTCACTCCTAAGTACCTCCGTACCATGGTTGTACTTCCACCCTACGAAACAACTTCCAGGACAATCTTGGGGTAGACTACATTTTCATTTTGCTTAATGATAACATAGTTTATTCTTTCGACTTCCATGCGGATCTCTCATAATCAAGTACGATACCAAAGCTATTAATTGCATTGAACTGACTTTCCAACAACCAGTCGGATAATCTAAAGCTTTAAAAAGCATCCATTACCATCCCGCAACTCCAATCATGCTCATCTGCTAAAGCATATTATTCAAAACGGTATACCATTGAAAAGAACAATGAAACAGATGCCGGAAAGATGTCCGCGACTGAATAAATTATTCGGTATGATGACCTGAGTGGCCGCCCGACTCGCCTTCCACCTTGGGATAGTACCAAGTTGTAACGGCAATAATGACATACACAAGTACGCAGAGACCTCCCTCAAGGTAGTTGGACTTTCCGTCGCGCAAGAAATTTCCAACCACCAAGATTGACAGGACGACGAGGACGATCATAAAGATTTCGAAGTTGAGGCCCATGTCTTTGTCAAGGCACCAGCCCACGATGACTGCCAATGGCGCGTTCAACAAAGCTGTCTGGATTGAAGGGCCGAGGCAGTGGAAGAGTGCGAAATTGATTTGATTGTCCCTAACAGATGTTAATTTGGCGGAGACGCAGCTGAATTTATCTGCAGGTCGGACTCACCAGGCTTCGTCAATAGCGGTCAGATGCTCTGCCGCTTTCTCGACCAGAGGAACCAAGATCAGACCCATAAAGTTATCAGAAACTCCTGTTTCAACTATGTACTCGATTTCTTCGACCAAAAAGACTGCTGACATGCATACGAACGTGAGTGAAAATGCTATAGCCACTAGACACTCGGTGAGAGTGAGCTTCGTGCGCTGCAATTCTTCCTCTCGATCCTCATCGCGCTGCTCGTCATTCTCAAGGACTTCATCGAAAATACTGTGATGACTATGCAGATTATAGAACAGGAACCTGTGCAACTGCGTGAGTGGACGCGATCTTAAAAGGCAGCCCAAGAACGGAGGGGCTTACATGATAAAGGCAACGAGAAGAATAACAGAGGTAGATCGACTGATTACCAAAGTGGAATGATCCAAATCTTGTTGAGTGATGATCGCTTTGGTTGAACTCGAGCTTAGAGCCGCGTAGAAGGCGCTCGGAATCAACAGACCAAAACCTGCAACGAGCAGAAGCCCCGACCCGACCTCACTTACAGCTTCATGAAACGACTGTTCATGGCGTCTGATACCTCCAAAGAAGAAGCACAACCCCAAGCAAAGCAACAAATTCGCAAGAATCGAGCCCAGGATAGCGGCCTGGATGACTGGGATCAGGTTTCCCCCTTTATCATTGTGGAGCAAAACCATGAAGAGTACGATCTCCACGACTGAACTTAGTGTTGTTTCCAACAGTACTCCAAGAACTTTGGGCAGCTTCTTTGCCAACTCTCCGCCTGCGAAGCCGAGCAAGTTTGCTGAAGGGACTATGGCCACATAGTTCAAAGCGAAAATCCAAATGTGAAGATCCTTCCGAGCGAAGTGTATGGCAATAGCGGCCGGGACGAAAGGCCAAAGGATATTCACCAGCATCGAAAGTGTACAGGTGCTTTTGAAGCAGACCGCGAAAAAGTGGACTGGATGAAACCCACTGCGGCCACTCTCGCCAGCGGTGTCAACTCGAAATATTCCATGGCGGCGAGCACTCTTCTCGTTATGTGTAGGAAGTATGGACTGATCCTGCAATGACCCTGCTGGTTGGAAATGCCCCGACCTCAGGTCCCCGTTATTTACGTCTTGCTGTACCCGTTCATTCTGAAAGGAGGATCTCGTATTGGCGCCCATGCTGATGCACGGAAGCCCACGCTCGCTTACTCTGAAGCAAGTTCAAAAGGGGGATTTCTCAATAACTTTATGCGAACCAAACGATTCTCCCCAGAGTGGGCGCTATTCTTTGCTTGCTTGATCTGTATGACGTATGGAATGAAGTGAGGACAGGTAAACAAGAAGGAGAGCAAATACGAAAGCCGAAGCAGGCGAGGTTGAATTGGGCGCTTCAAGCAAAGTAAATGGCTGTCAACGTAGGTTGATATTAGTGTTCCAATGGTAAATTTATGGTAACGCTCAAGCTAGGGAGTGTCCCTGACAGAAAAGGGTTCTTCGCAGTGACCCTCACACTCAATCAACTCGAGGATAGTATATATAAAGAAATGTTTACGAAAATAAATATTTTTGAAGATCCCGGGATGGAGTTAATGAAAATAAGCCAAAACAGAGCTGAAGGTGAGCTGGCATTGTGGCGTCACAGCAGGATTTTCCTCCTCTCGTTAATAGAAGACAAATACCTAGGTAACTAAACCACAGACACTGGCTGGGCTTTGACTGGCCAGGGACAGGACGAATATTACCTCTTGACGATGCTCGGTATGGCAGCAGGAGTAAGTGGGTATCAAGTTTCATTTTGATTTACGGAGGACAACCCAACTGCTGGTATTTCAGAGCAGCTAAGAGGCCTTGGCAAATGAAGCTATTGACCTCAAAGCCTTAGACCGGATAGCTCATTGCTGGATTGTTTACTTTTTTTCTCTTGGCCGGAAAAGGGGTTGTTGAGTCGTCTTCGTCCTTGAATAGGTAGTCATGATTACTGATGGTATTAGGTTTTCGCACTTTTCATAACGACAGATCCATTCAAGCTGCTGTAACAGAAGATAGCAAGTGTGTCTTTCGAAGCCACATACCATATACCATATGAATCCTACAAAATCCTGTTGTTATTATCATGATGAATATCCCCCGTATTCCGCACTATGTTTACCAGTACCCAAGTACGCCGTAGATAGAACCTAAGTGACTGTACCATGGATGGTCACTACTTGGTACCTGGAAGATATTAATTAGACACTGGGGCCAGCCTCCAGTGGGGAAGAAGTGGAATGTGGATAAATCATGCACAGCCACTGCAACTTGGTCCATTCCATTACCATCTTTGTATCAGCATGTCCTTTGAGTACGGACTATTTACCATCGAAGAAACCGAGATCCAGATTCGTCCATCTAGGCATGACGGTACCGTCAGTACGTACCTAGTCCCTTTACCCTTGGGTATTCACGTCACGAAATTACCAGGAGAAGTTTCATTATTACTTCACCTTAATGAAGAAGTTGTCTCAGGAGCATACCCCGTACAGGTCGTTGCATTGACGCCGACTGTCTTAGGGTCCCTTAGCAGTGGTACTCCCTCCCGAGCGAGTACCTGGACTGGGGCAAGGACTTGGAGGTGTGGTGTCCCAATTGACATCATCAGCCTGGTGAATTTCTTGTCAAGAATGCCAGTCATGCATAGGGAGAGTATGATTCAATATATCGTGTCCCATATATTCCGTAGAAGGCCCACAATCCAATTCAGGACGCTGCTGTTGACAGGCACGTTGGCTCTCTGAATTGCAATAGTAGATCGTCTGTAGGGCCCGCATTCACATATGGCAATCATCAGCGCCCGGATGATCATTATTATTTCTTATTTATCTACACCCTAGAACTCTCCGCATTTCCATGAATTCTACCTCTCGTAGAATCTGGATACATGAATAGATCGGGCTATTTTGGAGAAGTAACGCTCCGTAAGTACTCCCAGAAATCGTAACTACTCCGATTGGATGGAATCTTTGCGTGTGTTAGGTCATGCACTCAGGGTCCCCAAGGTCCATTAAGGAACCAATTATCCCCGTATCGACCTCTGTAGATCATGGCCACGGGGTCTGGCTGGTGGTAGGTACATCAACGGTATTATCGGACATCTCAAGCTTGAACCAAATCCTACGAGCTTCATTCTCTGGAGAGAAACTTCAACGATACGCTGCCTACGGGACCTTTACGTACACGTCGTAGTTGAGAATCCTTGAATAGCGCATAACGAATAATGCACTTTTTCCATGGAGCTGTGGACTTGAGGCTGAGTCAAAACCTAAATAAATGATACTTCTCTATGAATCTACCATCATTTCGGACTCTCATACGGAGCAGACTAAAAAGCCGATAACACCATAATCCTAAAACATCGCCGGAGGCGGCGACAGGCGGCTATTATCGGGAGGGGGACTTTCTTGTTACGCGATTTTTTCCTCATCTTGCGCACATCTGCTTTTCCTCATTCTCAATTCGGAATTCAATCAAATACAGCTTATTTGCCTTCTCATAAACTTCTCTCACTTGAACTAATTGAGGCCTGATATACTGGTTTTCCTCTGGCCTTCCTGAGGCCTATCACTCATACAATGTCGTCCAAAACGTCCCCGGCCGTCCCTCCAGTGGCCCTTGATGCGATCACTCAACACATCGGCAATACTCCACTTGTGCGCTTAAATCGCGTACCACAGAGCCTTGGAATCGAAGCCACTGTATATGCAAAGTTGGAATACTTCAATGCGGGAGGTAGCGTGAAGGACAGAATCGCCCTGCGCATGATCGAAGAGGCGGAGAGATCGGGGCGCATCAAGCCTGGTGATACCCTGATTGAACCTACCAGTGGTAACACGTTAGTTGCGCCGTTTTCTTACCTCCCCCCACCAAATGATAGTTGAGAACATGGTCTAACGTTTCCCGTGCCTTCAGCGGTATTGGATTAGCTCTTGTTGCTGCCGTCAAAGGTTGGTCCTTTTCTCCTTGGTCCTTGTTGGTAAATCAGGATTTTCATTAAATCCTCAAAGGCTACAAGACTATTATCACACTGCCCGAGAAGATGTCTGCTGAGAAAGTGTCCGTACTACGGGCTTTGAACGCCACCATTATTCGTACGCCTAACGAGGCTGCCTACGACTCCCCCGAATCCCACATCGGCGTCGCCAAACGTCTCGAGAAGGAGATCCCCAATGCGCATATCCTAGACCAATACGGAAACGTGAACAATCCATTGGCGCACGAGCTCGGCACTGCGGAAGAGATCTGGACTCAAACTAACGGCAAGATCAGTGCTATCGTCGCAGGTGCGGGTACCGGTGGCACTATCACCGGGCTGGCGCGAGGTCTGAAGAAGCACAACCCCAAAGTGAAGGTCATTGCGGCTGATCCCCACGGTTCTATCCTGGCTGTCCCGGCCGATCTGAACAGGGAGCATGAAAATGAGCCCTATAAGGTCGAAGGTATCGGGTATGATTTCATTCCGCAAGTGCTCGACCAGAGTGCTGTGGACAAGTGGTACAAGACTGGGGACAGGGAGTCTTTCCAATACGCTCGGCGATTGATTGCCGAGGAAGGGCTTCTTGTTGGTGGGAGCAGTGGAAGCGCGATCTCAGCGCTGGTACAGGCCGCAAAAGATCACACCTTCAGCAAAGACGATGTAGTAGTTGTGATTCTACCTGATAGTATCCGGAGCTATCTCACAAAGGTATCAATGAAGCCCCTGGCTATTACTATTGGTCAAATCTGACAGGTCATAGTTTGCCGACGACGATTGGCTTGCCGCAAATGATCTGCTGCCCTCGTTATCCTCTGAAACTACATTGGTGTCGCAGAGTGTGCAACCACAGGCACCAAAGGATAAGTTCGCTGGAGCGAAGGTTCAATCCTTGAGACTGAAGCCCATCACAACCGTCCGGTCCAACATCCCGTGTGAGAATGCTATCGAGATCATGCGCGATAGGGGATTTGATCAACTTCCCGTCCTTGCACCCTCGGGAAAGAAGCTTGTTGGACTGGTCACTCTGGGAAATGTCCTCAGTCGGCTGACGCACGGACGCGCTACGAAGAAAAGCTTGGTCGCAGATGTCATGTTCGACTTTGGCAAGATCTCAGAGGTCGTCACCGACCCTAGGGACCTCGGTCTGGCAGAACCCAAGCTCAATGGCGACCAACAGAACGGAGCTGATGTCTTACGGCCACAAGCCAAAAATCGCAAGTTCATGGAAATTACTATGGACACTCCTCTGAGCGTCCTCAACCGTTTCTTTGAATGGAACAGCGCCGCCATTGTCACTGAGAGGGACGAGCATGGAACGATGAGGCCCCTCGCGGTCGCCACCAAGGTCGATCTGCTCACCTGGATGCTCCATCATAATGAGGACTCTTCTTAATACCGGTCCCCTCCCATTTCCTTACGGGGTTTTCACGTTTCAAAGATGCGTATTATTAGGATGAGTCGTTTGCTTCAGGGAGCTCAACCTCATCACTCATGATTTTGCGATATTAGTCTGCATTCGATTATATAGAGACATTCATCCATAGATTGGGTTCAACACGATCATGGGGGCAGGGTACGGAGTTAATTAGGTTATTTCGAATTTTTTGAATACACGCATTGAATCAACCAATGACTGAATCTCGGACCCTGTTTTCCACCTCATTGTGGTGGTCACTGATTCGTAGGTTGTTACAATTCCGTCGCATTCTCATCGATGCGGACACCCTGACGTAGGACTGACTTGTTTATATCCCCGCATGTGTTCGCCTTTTATCTTCAGACACTCTTTGACGTCAGGCGTTAACGTCGAAACCATGGCGCGAGATTCAGGGAGGATTGAAAAGAATTTGTATCCCATTTGTGACCTTTGTTATTCTCTTCATAGACTCGGAGCTCTGAGCATAGAAACTACTTGTGTAAGATGTCGGGATTCTTCACGTACCGAAACTTCTCTTTTCAGGACACGCCTCCTCTGGACGGGAAGGTAGCTGTGGTGACGGTGAGTATATACTCTTCTTGAAGGATGGATAGGATCTCAGTGATGGAACTACAAGGTGATGAACGCTGATGACTGTCGCTACACAGGGAGGCCAAGCTGGCATAGGGGAAGGTGTGTAGCAACGTCCTACACCGATGGGTGCTATATGAGTACTCATCCATATCCTATTCAATCATTCCATCCTAATCTTATATTCATTGGTTCAGAAATTGTTGCACAGTTACTCTTGCACAATGTTAGGAAAGTCTACATTGTAGCGCGAAGCAAGAGCAAGTACCTCAGAGCACAAGAGATCTGGCGAGAGCGCCATGGCATAGTTCTCAGCGAGAATGACGACAGGGTGGAATTCATTCAGTGCGACCTGGGAGACATCAAATCCGTAAAGGATGCAGCGGATGAGATTACAGCTAAGACAGACAGGCTGGACATCTTGATATGCAATGCAGGTAAGCTTTTTCTCGCGCACTTGCGCAGCCGCTTCGATTGCTGAAGTCTGCCAAAAGGGTTGGGTGTGGCACCTCAATACAAGAGGTCACCTCAGAATATCGAGATTATCTTTGCTACTAATTGCGTCGGCCATCAGGTTCTGGCGACCCTTCTGCTTCCTCTTCTGAGACGCACAATAAACCAGGGCAAGGCACAGGAGGCTCGGATAGTCGTCACCAGCTCATCTTTTCATCAATTCTGTCGCAAACTAGATCTGAATTTGCTCACATCTCCCAATCGCCCCAAGCCTGCAATCGTCGACGGACTATGGCGTTACGGTCGATCCAAGCTGGGTAACATTCTCTTCACAAGAGAACTTGCCCGCCGGCTCGAACAGGGGACGGACCCCGCAGATAGGCACATCTACGCCAATGTATTCTTTCCAGGAAATATCGTCACCGAGCAGTGGAATTCCTGGGATGACTACTTTGGAAAGATAGGAGGCTCTATAATGAGACGCCTGTTCTCACTAATTGGACAGAGCACGCAGGATGGTGCTGCAACAGCCATTTATCTAGCTGCGAGCCAAGCAATTCGAGAGAATGGAACGCGTGGTCAATACTTCATACCTATTGCAACACCTTGCAAAACAACTCCGATTGCTGCTGATATGAAGCTTGCTCGTGAACTTTGGGTGAGTCCTCTGTGCTGAAATGCTTTCCGCTACGGTCAATTCGAAAATTTTCTCACATTACTTCGTCCTCTTATTTAGGACTGGATAAATGCCCGAGCGACAGAGACTCTAGGTTCCAACTGGCGGAGCGAGGCTGGCATGGGTTCGTCCAATGGCATCTAGAGCCACAATAGCGAGGAGTCCTTCTATAGTCCTGCCAAATGAAGCCACCGTCCAGGTGTATCGCACTGAAGGGACCGTAGCTCGCCCACCAGCTACTTATATACTTCCCCAAAAGGTTTCCAGTCTGTTAAAGAGGCCCGGAGAATCAAGCCCCACATTCATGAACCAGCATTCATAGGCATTGTCCTATCCATTCTTCCCATCTCCTCACACCGGCTCCAGTATTGCCCTCCTCATCGCCTTTTACAGCTCCGCCAACGACGTCGACTTTCACACCAACTTCATCTTCTAGTAGCTTGAAGCTGAAAGTATCCTGCGCATCGATGCTGCCCAAGATATCATCTTCGTCCTCAACCGTAGCAGTGTCGTCACTGGCATTCATGAGCCCCTTGCTCTTGGATTTCCGGATCCTATCGATCTCGGTTTCCAGTTTTTCACGAACAGAGCCTGGCGGCAAGGCGGTGAATAGGTCTTGTTTGTTGGCGGCCACGAGGACGGGGATTTCCGATGCTACCTTGGCGGAAGATTTGCCTTTCTTCAAAGCGCGTTTCTGAAGAGCGAGAAGAACATCGTGCAAATAGGATGCGGTGTCTCTCAACGTGTCTTCCTCAGTCAGAGCTGCAGTGTCTACCATAAAAATGACAGCGCGCAGCTTTGATTTCTTGTCTTTAGCAGTTGCCATTGACACCAGTTCCGAAAGGCCCTGGACCTCCCGTAGTTTCCCATGGCCAGGCGTATCCTTCAAACGATATCTGACAGGATTCTTAGAGACATCCTTCACGGAATAATCATTGACGGAACGGTAGCGATTTGATGCAGTCGGTACCGAGGCAGGGAGGCTGACGATGGCTGAGGTAGATGTTTGAGATGTGTGCGTGGATTGGGTCGCTTTAGCCAATCGGGATGTCTTGCTTTCAAGCTATCAAGTAACATCAATGACTGTCGATTGGAAGGGTAGCGTTCGCACGAAACTGCGAAGCCATTTCGAGAATGCTGGTCTTACCAATGACAACAATGCGGTTTTTCCTGCCCCGCTAGGTCCGAGAAGCAGGAAATTGCTCAATGGCGGAGACGCAACGGACCGGTAGAAGAGGAAATGCAACAAAACAGGCAGTCCAAAAGCGATGAGAGTTGTGACTGCAATAGCGACGAGATTACCGTCCAAAAGGCTGGTGAAAATCCGCTCAGCCAGACCCCAATCTTTGTGGTCTGCCATCTCTGCTTATGGATGGCTTATTTAAGAGGAGGAGTAGTATCAACGAGGATTGTTTGAGGAAACAACGATCAAACCACTAAAATCATGAGGAATGGTATCAGGTCAAAATGCGCACCATCTTCCACTTAGACCAAGTTTGAAGCTATGCGTATTGCAAGATGGTCGGAGCTCCAGCTTGTTGCCAACAGCCGCGGGTTCTTTTGAGTAATCATGGCGCCACCGCACTTCCATTGGGCTTGATGCCTTAGCTGTTAGGTTCCCGTTCTCTTATCGATTAGAGGCTTATCGATAAGAGGACTGGCATGTATCAGAACTATATACCTCTCTACAATGGGTCACATAGATGCTCACATGCCTCCGGCATGCAGGGATGAGCGTTGCCTCTTGTTTATTGATTTGGTCACCGAACTCAGATCTTGCTTAAATCTCTAGCTATCCAGCCGCTTTTAGATTACTGTGTACTGAATGAAATCTACATCCTCAATATGAATATTCTACAGTCCCTCTCCATCTTACTGCTACTCCCACATACATTAGCAGATGTTGACTTCACCGTGCCGACCATTGGCACGAATTTCAAGGCTGGCGACGTTGTTACTGCACATTGGCGCGAGTCAGGGCAGTCTCCATGGATTTCGGAACTTTCACAATATGATCTTTACCTCTACGCAGGAGGAGACACGGCTGAAACCCAGGTGAGTTGCTGGACATAACAGACAGTCCAGGAGTTCCTATTAACGGAAAGACGGGTAAATAGCAAGAAGTAGCTGTTCTGATCAAAGACGGTCTGTTCGCTCGTGGGAATTCTGTTTCCATCAAGATCGATCCTGGTGTCGGAGGCAATGAAGCCAACGCATAGTAAGACCTCGGGTTTTTCTTGCTTGTTTAAAGCTACTGCATTTCTCGTCCCGTACTGACGCGATTCAAAAACCTGCAGCTTCCTGAAGATGGTTGCATCTGGTCCTGAGGCCTTTGCCATCAATTATTCAAATCGCTTCACACTCAGTAACATGACCGGGTCGTTCCCACCGCACCTCGTGGAAGAGATTCGTTCTCTCTCAGATCCTGACGGATCCGCAGTCAAAGAAGATCTACGAAAGAGAGTGGTTGGAGCAGCTTACGCAGCTTACACTGTACCCTATCCTTTGCAGAGCGGTCCAACAAAGTATGCTCCAATGGCCAAGGAACCCGGGAGCACTATCCCTGCGAAGACGAAGGCTCCAGCGCCGCAGTTCACAGCAAGTGTCTATACAATCGCAACGACTTGGCTTCCTCCAGCGACAGTGCAAGCTACACTTTCTGCATCTGCAACGCACTCTGTTGTCAGTGTTGAGAACACAGTAAGTGGATTATTGCAATGGCCTTGACAATACACGTGCTTCTTCTAATGAACACTTTCCCTAGGCGGCCCCTGCACCGCATCCCCACGATGCCGCAATGAGAAGATTAATGGAGAGATGGAAGGACTAATGAAGCAAATTGAAGAGAGAATATGATATCATGACATTTCGATCGCATTCAAGTCGCAGGTGCCAGAGGCTCTGCCTCCTATCGGCCAATTTAGCGGCGTTGAATCTCCTCTATTCTCGGTCTATAATAGATTTAGCCTAGAAGTGATAAACACATACTCCGTGATTCGTCCACTTCATCTTGAAGGCTACCGAATGTCGCTCAAAATGTAATTTCCAATGTAAGAACAGATAAGGTATCACTGTGATATGTGCCAAAAGAAGAAATCATCCGAGTCAGGTCGACTCGATTTATATATCGTTTCGCGCAAGAGGTCTAGTCATTGGCCGAAATCATTTGATGGTTGCGAACTGCTATTGGCATGGGGTATCATCCGACCGAAAAAAGGATATATTCTCCCGAAGAGCAACGTATTCGCTATCAGCATATCCGAGCAAGGACTGAATGTGTGTGCTTCTGTGGCCCTTTATGCGTGCAATCTCAGCGCTACCGTAATTGACCAGTGCACGGCCAACTTCCTTGGGTTCCTGCCCGTGGTGGAGGAAGTCTCCATTGAGGGAGTCGGGTGAGAGTCGCTCAACAACAACCAGTCGCACGGCTTCCTGTTGGCCGAACTGGCCATCTACACCCACGACACCTGCTGGTAGGAGACTGGCTTTGTTCAGGAGAGCGCTATATGCCCCATGGTCGATGTACAGACTCCCATGTGGCTTGAGACCATGCAGCAGCCAGAATGATCGGGATTGAATCGGTGTGTCTGAAGGCAGAAAACGCGTATGTAGAGGCGGCGACAGCGGTGATGATGACTGTAATGGCGTTGCTTCCACTGTTGAAGACTGCCCCGGAATTCCTCGTTGCGATTGCTGGAGATACTTTACGATCTCGAGAACATTGCCCGGTTTGGAACTCTTGGTAATCACCGTCGTCACTCCAGCACTGGTCGCTAATCTTGCAGCTACTATCTTTGTGCCCATTCCACCAGTTCCGAGAGATGAACCTGCAGACGACACGTCGGCTTCCAGAGAGGAGATGTCTGAAACCACCTCGATGGGCTTAGCATCCGGGTTGTGACGAGGGTTCGAGGTGTATAGGCAGTCAACATCTGTCATCAAAAAGAGATAATCGGCCTTCACCATGGCCGCCGTTATGGCCGATAAAGTGTCATTATCACCGAATTTAATTTCCTTGTGAGTTTCGTCAGAACAATGGAAGATTTATGGGTCAGAGGGATGCTTACAGAAACCGCCAGCGTGTCGTTCTCGTTAACGATGGGGATAACTCCCATATCGAACAGCTGGGCAAAGGTGTTTTGAGCATTGATATATTGTGTCCTCTAAAGTTGACATTAGATATTTCGGGTCCAGCGGTTGCAAGTGAATGAGTCCTCACATCCGCAATGTCATTCCTGGTCAAGAGGATCTGCGCTACAGGAAGTCGAAGGTGTGAAAATAAACCGTCCCACAGGCTCATGAGTCTGCATTGTCCGACAGCTGCTAGCGCCTGAAAATGCACCCGGTCAGAACCTTTACCCTTGCGGGACTTGAGAACGCTGGCTTATACCTGTATGCGAGGAAGATATTTGGGTCTCTCGTCTACATCCATCCTCCGCAAACCAACGCCAACAGCGCCAGAAGAAACGAGGACTACATTGTGCCCATCCCTATGCAGCTTGGCGGCTGTCTCGACGATTAAGGTCAAGATCGAGAGAATGGGCTCATGGGTATTCTCATCAACTATGGAGCTCGTCCCTATTCAACTCGTCAGTCAGTTATTCCCAAACAACATATAGCATCATCCAGAAAACGAGAAAAAAACAGATCCCCGCACCTAGTTTTATTACAATGGTAAGACGCTGCGACGGCATTGTTACGACTATTTGTTGGAGGATTTCAGAAGCAACTAGGAACACCCATAACACAGAAAGTCAACAATTCAATGGATCGTGCTTGGACCTGAAATCCTAATGACTCGTTTCCTTTTCAATAAACTAGACAATCCGACTGCGGACCATTTGTTTTGCCGCCCGTCACCGCATATGCGGAGAGCCCTGACGAATCTTCTTCCTTCCGCGCTCTAAACTAGATCCACTGGGGGATAACGGTTCTCTGATACAGCTTCGAAAGTTAGCAACTTGGCTTGAGAAATGTCGGATTCGCAACCTAGCTCAACTTCTTCTACCGGCGGCAAGTCTGATAGTGGATTTATTCCTGGAGATGACACATGGACCCAATGGCGCAATATATTTGCTATCTTGACGGGAAAGATGACAGATGAGGGAAAGGAACAATTCCGGGTTGCACGAGATATCCGCAATGAAGCCGCTGATTGCAAGCGCTGCGAAGATCAAAGAGACTACCTATTACAGTACAGTGAGTTCTGGAACTACTCGAAGTTTTCATGGTTACTTCACACTGATTTTCTGTCCATAATTATCCACTTCTCATTAGCTCCTCTGAACCGGGTCTCCATGGAAATTGTCTGACAAACATATGCTTGTCCAGGTCCGATCATACGGTTTTTGAGCGACAATATTCGACAGCTAGGGGGCGATCTTTCCAGTCACAATATCTATTGCCGCCGCTGTACGAACAGAAAGGCTGGGGGCTTTGATCCGGAATATGGCATCTTGCTTTGCGCGAACGAGATGAAGGACCAAGGGCATCTGGAGGACACAATGGCACATGAGATGGTTCATGCATATGACCACCTAAGATTTAAGGTGGACTGGACGGATAATCTGAGGCATGCAGCTTGCACAGAGGTATTGAACTCTTTCGTGAGACCCAAGCCAGCATTAATTGACTTATTGCAGATCCGAGCAAGCTCACTTAGTGGTGAATGCAGATGGGCGCGAGAATTCTTCAGACGTGGTCAGTGGAAGTTCACGCAACAACATCAAGAGTGTGTAAGAAGAAGGGCCATCTTGTCAGTAAGAGCTAGACCTGGATGCAAGGATGAAGCCCATGCGGAGAAAGTGGTCAATGAGGTTTGGGACAGCTGTTTCAGAGACACGCGGCCCTTCGACGAGATTTACCGTTGAGTCTCGTGGTTTTCTTACGAAGATACGTCAAGCCTACCCTGCCTGTCTGATTTTGTGCATGAAATCTGCGCTCTGCAATGTATTATAGTCAAGTTCAGGATGTTACAAGAAGAAGATACCAGATGACGCCGAGCTAAGAGCCCTGATGGCTCAGATCTTCGAAGGAGAAAGGGGAAAAAAGAAAAAGCACAAAGCACCTTCCAACTCCATACACACAGGCTGAAATGAACTGACTGACAAGGAAAGGAGGTACAACACCCTAACTCCAGAAATGCATGGGTTTTACCATCATGCTTTGACTTCCTTTGAAGAACCAGAACTCCGTTTCGTGACCCGGTCATCCTTCAAGCAATGTTTAAGGATCCAGGGATGTCGCTGGATCTCATCAAGGGAAATACGCTTGTCTGGGTCCAGAACGAGCAACTATTTGAATGTTAGCAACTGTACTTGCCTTGAGCGGTAGGGTTGGCATACTCTCTTGATAAGGTCTTTTGCCTCAGGACTGACAAATGAAGGCACCGTCATGTCCGCTCTCGCAATTCGTCTTTGCGTCATGACGGGAGTGTCTTCGAAGGGCGCTTCCCCAACCAAGAACTCATAAGTCAAGACGCCCAGGCTCCATAAATCAACCTTTTCGCTGTAGTAGTTTTCTTGTGAGTTGGGCTTCAGCATTTCGGGAGGAAGATAGTCCAGTGTTCCACACATCGTCTGCCTTCTGTTATTGGGCGCATGGACACTCCACCCAAAGTCACTGATCTTGATTTCCCCGTGGATTCCCACGAGTATGTTCTCCGGCTTGATGTCGCGATGCATGACGTGCTTCTTATGCAAGTACTTCAATGCGGCAGCCATCTGCGCAATATATTGAGCTGCCTTCCACTCGGGAAAGCGATGCTCCTTCCGGAGGTGCTTGTACAACTCTCCTCGGCCGGCGAACTCCAGGATCAAGAAAATTCGCTTGCTATCATGGAAGTGGCCGTAAAGTCTGAGAACATTGGGGTGGCGTAGGTTGCTCTGTATCTCAATCTCGCGTCTAACTTGCTTCTGCACTCCGCCCTGCTGCAGCTCGGATTTGTGCAGGACTTTAAGAGCACAAACGAAGCCGGACGATCGCTCTTTGGCCAGGTATACCCTACCAAATTTCCCCTTGCCCAAGGGCTTGCCAATCTCAAACATTCCCAGATGTAATTTCTTGGGGCCCGGCTGCTCGTATAATGGTGTTGTGTGTCGCGGTTCTCCATTCTCATCTGTGTCACGGTGCGGCAATGTGCTCTGCGCTCCCTTGAGAGGGGACGAGCCGGCATTCATTGCATTCACTTTGTTCTCATTTGTGTTTTGCAGCGCAAGTTTCAACAAGGTTGACCGACTTGAGCCACTATTAAACTGCCCAGCGGCTCCGAGGCCTGAGAGGGACACCGCTGTTGACAAAGAGCCCTGTCGAGCCGGGTTAGCAGGCTGTTCCACTCTCCCCAAAGACCATTGCAAGAGATTTACCTTGTGCTTTGAGTATGTGCTGCCATTCTTCCCATAATCAGCATCATCTTTGACAGAGAGGTGCTCAAAACGAGCCTCTAGCGCCCTGGTAGCCATGAGAATCTTGTGATGAGAATTGTCAACTGCTCTGGGAAGAGGAGAAGCAAGTAAGACTGCGCGATTCAGAGAAGCTCTAATGGTTTATGCAATCATAATTGAACTGATAATGGAAGATTCGGATTGTCAAATAATAAATAAGTCGTCGTCGGGGGTCCTTTGAGAAAGAGAAGAGGAACATCCAACGATCCACTTGTTTGTCTAGTTATGCTCCTTTGACATATCACCACGGCAACGGATCGGACCGCCTCTTTCTCCGACGCCGCGGGGTATCTATCATTGGGGACGAGGTTGGATATATGTCGTTGGACTTGGCGGCATCTTTAAATGGATGACAGAAATATACGCCTGCTGATTTGAAGGGACTCAACAATCAAATTTCAAATCTTGGTACTTGAAAGAAACCAGAGAATGGCCTCAGGAGGCTCGGCATCCGCTATGAATGCCGCTGCAGTTTCCCCAGGCGTCCAGAGGCCCAATGTTATCTCGGTGAAAGGATTCAGAATAATAACTCAGAAGCTCCCTATTTTGAAAGCTGAGCCAATTGAGGAGATGACGAGAAGGTTGGGTATTGCGCCGCCGGAAATGATCTTCGGCGACAACTATGTCACCGTCGAATCTGAAAAGAAGGATTGGGGCATTACCTTCAATGCGTTTGACGCGCTGGATCGTGTAGACAAGACGGGCACCTCTATGCTCAGAGTCGCGCATTCAAAAGAATGGCAGAAGAGCAGGTAAGCCAGCTCCGTATGGTGCAGCCGACCCTCATCTACCTAACACGAAACAGGGAGAAAGCCCATGAAGGTATCAAGGACGTCGTCAAACCATTCGATTGGTCCTACACCACAGATTATATGGGCACTGTCCTTCCCAACGGTCGGCCTTTTGAGACAACGACGAAGCCCATACCTATAGAGTTACTGAAGCGCCCTGATCCGATACTGTTCTTTGATGAGGTTATCCTGTATGAAGATGAACTGGCTGACAACGGCATTGCTATGCTGTCCTGCAAGATTCGCGTAATGCCAGACAGGCTTCTGCTGCTCTCGAGATTTTTCATGAGGCTCGATAACGTACTCTTCCGGCTTCGAGATACCAGATTATACGTCGACTTCGAGAGTAAGGAGGTCATTAGAGAATATCAATCCAGGGAATGCGATTACGAAAGAGTCCGCCAGGTATTGTGCTCCAAATGACTCGTCAGTCCCCATGAGAGATCAGTCTATTGATGATATTTTTTTTTTACAGTCTCTGGCGACTACGAGAGACGATGTCCCGGCAATCATGAGAGACCCAAACAGGCTCTCTGAAATTCTCCCCCTCATAGAAAAGCGCTTGGAAAAAGTGAAACTGGATGCATAGCACGAAACACTATAGAACCTGTGCAGCTACCTATTGGCCACCATGGCAGGATGATTGAGTCGATCGACATCGCGCTCCCTCGAACTCCTCTTTCTGAGTGGCCTCCGCCATAGTAACGGCTCATCCACTGTCTCCCAAGAGAGACTCGCAACCAGTTAAAGGTACCTGAACCCCTGCCTGCAACAAATAGACAACTTGCGAAGTGTCTTTACCGTTGATGATTACAAATTCGAAGGCGGGCTTTGTATGTCCTCGTAGTCACGAATGATCTAGACTAGCTGGCGGGGAAATCTATTGGCCGTGTCTGCGTTGGTGAGATAGTCTTGAGCAAACAGTGCAAACAGAGCTTCCGCTCTCCATGCATCATCAGTCTCTACCTCTGGACGAGCTTCATCCCGACGCATATATGCCAGTCATTGATCGAATTATATTGGACGCATTGTTTCGACCAAAGATGCCTTCCAAAAGTTTGAATCTGACATGGGTGCGAGCGCTACGCAAATCGGAGTGTCCCCAATCTCAAGTATGCAGCGACACAATTATTCGAAGTCGACTCTGAAAAATTGCCTGGCTGACCATGGAACGAACTGTAGGCGCATACACTCAACCTGTCCGTAATTTCGCCCCGAAGTCATCGACGATCCTTATACATATTTGGGCCTATCGCATCGCAACCTGTATCTCCAGGCCTTGTGTCCTTGCGCTCTCCGGCCCATCCGAACCGCAATGCCCGTTTGGTCCAGCAGACTCCGGGTTTAGTTCCACACTGGCGGGCTTCTTCACGATTATCCAGGGCTATAATGCCTCGTCCTGGAACGGCTGCCGAAACATATGTCGCATACGGCATGACACAGAAATTATTCGAGGTCTGTTCCAGTCAAGCCGACTACAGCATTCCTCAATTATCCCAGAAAGGGGCTCAAGTTCCCAAAACTGAAGCTGGGGAGGATCTTGGTGTTGGAGAGGGGTGGTGGTACGAAGGTATGTACTGACCTTGAAAGTGTATTGCACTCGTTTTCTATCATAGCCGCGGAGAGCTGACTTCAGTACGTCCAGATTTGGGATTGGTTCCAACCTTCTCGACTTGGTCGCAGGTTACGTTTCTGCACATGTACCTTCTCACCGTCCGACTGCGCGCTTTGCCGTCATATGAAAGCCTGCAAACGTACTCCCGCCACTTGATAGACCACTTCTCACATAATGCGGAGCATCGCATGGATGTTCTACATGGTCTGACAAGTCGCGCCATCCGGAACAAGTTTCTCAAAGACCTTTTTATTCAGTGGCGAGGCGTCCTTGCTGCATACGACGAAGGCCTGGTGAAAGGTGACGCTGTGCTAGGAGCTGCTGTGTGGAGAAATCTCTGGAAAGCAAGCCACACCGGGCCGCATGGTGAAGAGATGGATTGGACTAAGGTAGCACGGGTTGTTGCATATATGCGCCGCGTTATATCGGAGCTTTCCCAAATTAACGAGGCCGATCTAATTCTACATATCGGCCCCAGGCCCGGTGGAAAGCCCGGCATTTTTGGTTATTCGGAATCGGATAAGCAGTTGGTCGATGGAAAGCGATGAACATGTAAACCAATTCTCCATGTATTTGTTTGAATGCAAATCAGAACTATGCACGTCCTGAGTCTCAGGACTGACCATTTTTCCCAACTGAAGAACATACACTGTCCTCCATCTAATTTATGAAATACCGTGACGGAATCACTACCGGCCACAACACCGATTTGGTTGTTGATGGCCGATGAAGTTAGGTAAGGCCATGGTGATTTTGCAAATGTGGCGCTCGCAGACGTTTCGAGCCAAATCCTGTGCCACTCCAGGCAAGCGACAAGATTTCCCGGATGAAGGAGAACATGCGTAAAGTGGCCAGCGCGCCACCACGTTTTATTCATCTTTCTTACCGAAAAGGTCCTTTTCAACCATGGCACGGCAAATAGGATGGTAGAAATCCCTATGCTTCTCAAATGTCTCAATGGCACGCTTACGGTCAAACTTTGCCAATTTCCGATACCTGCACCGAAGATTAGCTTCAGGACGAATTGCTGGAAAGTGGCACCTGTAGGAATGACTTACAAGGGTCGCACAAATTTCATTCGACCAATCTTGCCGAGTAGATCTGCCGTCGGTTCAAGCACACTTGCATCGCCTGCCTGCAGACCGACTTGGAAGTACAGGTTGGCCACCTCGATATTCTGGCTCGCGGCAAGTCCATAAATTTCACCCATTAGCTTAGACAATTCAGGGGTCAGCTGACGCTCGGACACGAGAATCTGTTCCAAGAAAACCACGACTTGATTCGCGGTCAAGTCTCGGATATCCTCTGGCTGAGGCTTGAAGGAGGAGTTAGGCAAAGATAGCCACTTTTTAGCTAGATCATAGACAACATCAACGAGCGACGTGTCGAAATCTGGCTTCGGAGGGAGACCAGGGGCATAGAACCATCTGTCCCAGTCAAGCTCATTGAGTACTGTTGAGGCTTCCGAATCATCCTTGAAAAAATCCAAGATTGTGCTCTTGAATTCATAGGAGTCAAGTGACTTGCCCTTGTATTTATTGAAGTACTGAACATGATTAGCGGGACGTCCGTTTCAAGGCAGGACTGTCAACATACGTGAGGGATGAATAGATTGAACTTGCTCTTTCCAACCAGGTTCTCCAGGTGGAATAAAAAGTTGAATCCCTTCTCGTACGGAATGCTTGAGAAAGCGTCATCCGGGTCCATGCCCTTCAGGTTAGTGATAAGTTTGGTGAAGTCATGCTCAGGACCGAAGTGCTCTACAGAGTCCGTGAGAGCCTTCCATCCAATGATGGCGGAGAAATGACGATAAGGCTCGCCGTGGCTATAGCCGTTAGTGACACGGAGCCAGAACACTCGGGACAAAGATACTCACACTGCAGCTACGATCTTCGCGCGGTTAGCAACAATCAATACGTCTACCCTCTAGGAGGCCAGGAAAAGGAGACTTACCCGCCTCTCAAGGTAAGTAGTCCAGCCTTCATTCAACCAGAAATGCTCCCAAGAGGCATTGGTGACAAGATTACCGCTCCAGCTATGCGCAAGCTCGTGAGCAATAACGTCGATGTTTTCCCGATCCTGCGCAGTAGATTAGAACTGCCAAAGGGCTTCCGAAGTAATGGTGAGTCAGTGCAATACCTTTGAGATGATACTGGGGGTGGCAAACGTAAAGATTGGATTTTCCATTCCCCCATACGGAAAACTGGGGGGAAGGATCAATACATTATATTCTCCCCAAACGTAAGGATAAACAATTTTCTGTACGCAAGTCAGTCGAGTATCTAACTTCGCTCGGTCATTCAGACACACCTCGATTGCATTGATGAATTTCTCGGTATCTGCTTCGAGCTCCCATTGACATTCGCTGAGCTTGTCGGGACTAGTCGCGACAACGCTACGGGGTCCGATTGGGGCTTCAGAGATATCACTTAAAACTTTCTGTCAGATGAAACCTGCCAAGTGGTTCCAAGGAGTGGCGAAATGGTAAAGGAAGAGTGGAACAAGTAAGATGTTGGGGGGGAGGAGGAACGACTCACCCGCTAGCTAACGCGAAAAGATAACTTGGAATTGGGACCTTCTGGTGGAACTTGTATAAAGTCTTACCATCGGACTTCGGAGCCTCAGACGAACCCCGAACGGGGAGTCCGCTGGCAATTACCGGAAGAGGCGAAGTTATGTTGAAGTCCAGCGTACACTTGACATCCGGCGTATCTTGACAGGGAAAGATGGACCGGGCGTGTATAGCCTGGCACTGAGAGACTGAAAAGAGCTCCTGTCAACATCTGTTCGTTCCTCTGCTAGGCTCACGTGCTACACCCAGGATTCATGCGTGGATTGTTTGAGTCTTTTTTTCACGAGACTGCCGCCCAGAGAGCGATTTGACTTACACATATAAGGGTGCTTCTTATTTGATGTTTGAGCAGGTGTCAGCCATTGAAGAGCAGTACACTTCTCAGTGGTTTTGACGGATATCTAGAACTCATTAGACCGGGACATACATCGCCTAAGAATGGAGATTACGGCAACATACGTCGACCTCAATAGTATCGTTGAGCTTCACACCTTGATCGAGCTTGATCTTGAGAGGGGTGCCGTATGGTTCCAGTCGGGGAAGATACTCCCACTCGGATGGCTGTCCGTTGACTTTCACACTACCAATATCAAGATGGTTGGTGTCCAGGATGATTTGATTGGACTCGCCATGAGTGGTAGAACGGAACTGATGGATCACATTTCCAGCAAGCTTTCTCTGATCAAAAAGGATGTCGAAATTTGCAGTAATATGAGTAGACACCCAATTATTGTAATTGCTCAGGGTGTTTGGATCCCTGGGGGGGTTGACAACAGTCGCCATGTTGCGTCTTTGGCTGTGAGAAAACCGTAGAGTCCACCTGGTTTGAACGTCTGAGATGAAAGTCGGTCTTGAACCAGTGCAGATATAGCTTCGAGGAAAGCTTAGCCGCCGAAGCTGAAAGCGAGGCACACCAATCATAAATGATTCCCTGGGTTCTTATGGATACCTTACCTGAACCGATCAACTGACAGTGGACATTTGAGGGGAGGTTATATCCGGACGCGGCCACATGCGGAAGATGGAAAAATTTCATGTATTCCCGTTACGTACAGCAATATCCATGGAAAGATAGCGAGATAGAGGGAACGGACAGATGAGGTAAGGTAGAAATAGATAGCGAGCTTCACCTTTAAATCTCTCTCTATGATGTCCTCGCCTCTCGATGTCTTTGTGAGAGTAATGCTGGCAGGTATCTGATGATTCCATATCTATGTGTGTACACTTAATACCTTATCATTCATGAACGATGAGTGTCATTTCTCGCAGCTATGCTATATTATTAAGGTATTATTGATAAGGACTTTGTAGGTACGCCATGCATCACTGTACTTTGCCTTCGTACCTCTGCCTGTGCGATACCTAGGTAGCGCAGGCGTTCGTTACAGCAGCGTGCCGGTGGAGGTAAAACAAACATATCACTCAAACGCGTGTCAATCAAGCTTCTCAAGGAAGTGCTCGAGTCTCGTCCATTATGTTTATTCAGTTTGTCTACCTCTCTATCTTATTAATATTTAGAGAAGTCAGATCAGCACAGATGCATGGCGTACTCCTGGCATGATTAGGCAATAATAAACAGGTCACATCCAAAGCTCAGGGTACTCCGTACTCTATACTACTTTACCCACGGTAATCTAGTCTACAGGTACAGTTGAGCTCCCAGAACGTCTAGCTGTCAATAATTTTCCCACTCATCGCGCATCTATCGTCAATTGGCACTCACTGTGTATCTATACGTTCTTTTCAACTTGATGCCCTTTGTCCTTCCCTAATATATATAATCCGTCCTTGATTTGAACCTCATCACCATCTTCGCTTCATAAGTAGCTCCAATGGATACACCCCGAGTCCAGGTAGGCGCGCCGGAGGTCGCCCAGGCTCCTGTGAGCACCCAAAACACTGAAACTCCCGATGTGGATATGAACCAGACTCAGCAGAGCGCGGTGAATGAATCCCAAGCAGACGCGACACAACAGGATATTTCTCTGCCTGACGCGCAGCCAGCTAGTTCAGCACCAACAGAACCGCCGCAACCTCCCAAGAAGAAGCCAGGCCTTCATTTTCTGGAGTAAGCTCATATCGCCGGGAAGCTTCAACAATGCGACCCCAATTGGCGCATGCACGGCTCACACCACTTAGCTACCTGACGTCGCCCATTGTAGAACTCATCGTCGGGAAGGACGAGCACGAGACTTCCTTAACAGCGCACCAGAGCTTGTTGTTGGAATCGCCATTCCTTGCGCAGGCTGTTGCCGCATTCAGCGAATCAGGTCCCGTACGCACTAGCTTCCTCCTGAGCAATATTCTGGATGCTTTTACTAATACAATATCTGGCATGCAGCGGCGTATTAAGCTTCCCGATGAGAACGTCGAGGCATTCGGTTGCTTCCTACAGTTCCAATATACCCACGACTACTCCGCATCCCCCGCCGATCCACCCGCCGATCAAGACGTTGTAGGCGAACTGGATGATAGCGGCGAGCTACTGTTGAGACATGCGCGTGTCTACACTCTAGCAGAGAAGCTCGGCGTGCCTGCGCTCAAGAGTCTGGCACACTCGAAGATCCACCGTATCAACAGTACCTCTCACGGAGAGATCGCGTACGCTCGTTATGTCTACACGCACACACCCGTCGACGATGTCACTATTCGAAAGCCCGTCGCCTCCTTCTGGGCCACCAGAAGCCATGTGCTGCGCCACGAGGCTGAAGAGGAGTTCAAGAAGCTGTGTCTTGAAGTACCTGAGTTCTGCTTTGATGTACTCAGTCTTGTTCTTGACCAGAAAGAGAAACGCGCCCAGGATCGAGCAGAGACCGAATCGGGCATTAAAGGCAGTGGTAGGAAACGTCTCAGGAGCGGTATCTAGGCGGCATCCCTATGGCATATCCTACATTTAATCTGTTGTCCTTTGTTTCGGCGATCGTATCTGCATCTGTGTCAAAAAGGACTCGAGCGTACTTACCTTTTCTCTTCTTCTCTTTTACATTACCCATCGCGACCTGTTCACAGTACAATGTAGCAGTACAATATCGAGTCAAGCATTGGTTCTCGTGAAGAGTATGTGGCAGCTACCAACTAACAGCACTACTGTCATTGCAGGCAATACGCTCAGGAGACAGCTAGTCTCTCTATTTCATCAACAGTCTTTGGCGCCGTGGTTAGATTATCATATCCATCCTTGGTCACAACAACGTTGTCTTCAATGCGGACACCCCCCACACTCCAATAACGCTCGAGGACGTTGGTATCGATGTATTTGTTTGACTCGGGGGACTTGATGTAAGGTTCGATGATAAACCGGCAGAAATATACCTAGAGTAGCAGCAGGCGTCAGTGGATCAGTCTAGGGAACATGGGAAACTCCCAACTTACGCCTGGCTCGACGGTGATCACCGAGCCCGCAGGCAAACGACCTCTGACGCGAAGGTACCGGAACATGGTATCCTTATCCGCGTAATTCGGATTGCCGCCGGTATCATGAGTGTCCATTCCCAGATAATGTCCGAGACCATGCGGGAAAAACGCGACACTGACTCTCTTTTCAAAGATCTCGTCCTCGGCTCCTCGCAGAATGCCTAACTTAAGGAGGCCTCGAATTGCAACACGGTGGGCATGGGCATGCACATCCTCCCACTGCACGCCTTCCTTAAGCATTGCAATACATTCTGTCTGCATTTGCAGGACAATATCGTAGATCTGCCGCGTTTCTGCAGTGAGTTTTCCCCCTACGGGAATGACGCGAGTGATGTCTGCACAGTAGGTGCGGTACTCTCCACCGGCATCAATAAGTACATTGCGCTTCTTTTGATTTGTCACGGGGTCGATCAGTGTATCATCATTCTTCCCATAGTGAAGAGTGGCACCATTCTCGCCGCAAGCGACGATAGGGTGATAAGACTGCTCTCGAGCGCCATTAGCGATACAAGTTGCAATGAAAGCACCCTCGATTTCGCGCTCGTTCACGGCAGTTTGAGATGCCTTTATAGCTGCAATGTGTGCCTTGGCGGAAATATCATTTGCTTTTCTCAGCAACGCGATTTCGTACTCATCCTTGACCACGCGAGACTGCTCAATGACTCCCTTCAGCACGGACGGGTTCACCTCAGAAAAGCCGTGAAATTGTGTGCTTTCGGAGACCTGATCTGCAATGGTAAAAGCAATGGCCTTGCCGCCATGGCTGGACGCAATTGACGAGAGCGTGCTATTGAGTTCAGTTGTCACCAACACGCGATCGACGTCGTATTGGTTTTGAGCCTGCTCGGTAGACATGGGAAGACCGGACCAGATCACGTCCTCCGGGTCAACTGGAGGAATGAACAGAGTAAGTTGGTCCTCACTCAGATCGTAAACCAGACAAGAGTCCGGTAAAGGGCATCCAGATAGGTAGAAGAATGGTCGACGTTGTCTAATATTGAATGCGTATATGTCAGGCCTATCTTTCCAACTGCTGCGGAGCTCAGAATAAGGACGCCGTTTCGTACCTAAAGGGAACTGGCTCATCATTGTCTTCAATCAACCGAGTTTTCTGAGCCTCCAGGTAGACGATTCCAGGACAACCATTTCTGTGAGACTGGAGGCTTTCGGCCACACGGCGCGCATGCGCTTTCGCCGGATACTTGCCCGCCAGAATTGCATCTACTGTGGCCATCATGCTTTGACGCTAGTTGATAACACAGATGAGAAAGAATTGAAGTCTTATTCCTATATCTCCCCGGTGGATGTGGCCCATATCACAAATTGAATCTCAACTTGCTCGCTAATCGGCTGCTGCGGGGTCGTACTATGCGGGGCCCAGGCCGGTTAACGTCGGTATAGGCACTCCGAATAAGGTACGGAGTACTAGGTTGGAGTAACCGTGTTATCGAGTACAGAACAGGCAATAATTTGAGAACCAATAATCCGTAGTTGAGACATTAGATAGACTATCGGATCTTTTGTATATCTTCATGCAATATCTTCCATAAGAGCAACAGAGCTATTCAGCGTTCTGAACCTGCAACAGTCCCTAGACAAGCTATATACATTATTCATCTGCATGGGCTGGTTTGACTGCCTGTTGTTACCACATCCTCAAAATCCATCTCCCATCTGTCAACTTCTTCAAATTTCCTGGCTTGCAATCTGAGCTCCTCACTCAGATAATTCTTAGCCGGTATTGGCACCGGCGATGATTCTAGATCGAATGCATCCGTGTCGAGCGGTGAGGACAGAGGCGAGGACACCTCGATTGCTTGGTTCTCCTTGTCGGCATCAGCAGTCTGGTTTCTTCGAGGAGCATTAGCTCTCTTTTGCCTCGTGTCCTTCATTCCAGCTGAATTTGTATGTGCAGAAGACTCAGTTTGACTGATGGCTGCACCATTCAGAGCTGTGACTGCACCTTGCTTCCTGTGCTTCGTTCGAACAACCTCCAATGGCTTTGGTTTGTCCTTTCGCCGTCGTTGTGCTCGCGCTGGCTCCCTAGTGAGAAAGCATGACAACTCATCTTCATCCTGGTCGACAAAATAGTCCTCCTCGCTTTCATCATCTAGAATCACACCATGGGGTACTCCATTGCGTCTGCGATGTTTATGACGTCGCCGAGGAAGCAATCTGTCTTGAAGACTTGCTGTGGACACAGTGAGCTTTTCACTGAATTCTCCTGTGTTATGGTCCTTCGTATGCTCCAGCGAGTCTGCGGGTGATTTAGCGGTCATCACCGTTGAGTGGCTACTCTGGGGACTTGACACTGGGCTGCTGCTCAATGGTGGTGCCACCGTCCGATTCAGTCCTTCCTCGTCTGCCAAGTGATGTGAAGCCTCACGAGGGATGCCATGCTCTTCATCGCCACGCTCCGGGCTTATTGAGCCAGTAGGTGAGTTTTCCACAACGGCCAAAGGCGACTGGGGAACTTGAAGCTCCTCCCCGGTGCGCTTGCGCTTTCGCGATCCTCCGCTGGACGGGAGTGAACGGACCGAAAGAGGCGAGGAAGAGGCATGTCTAATAACCAGGGATTTTCCTCTGGAGACATTGAGGGGAGTCGACTCATCCTCTGGGCTCAGTCCACCAAGAAAATCATCGTCGTCAAGGTCTCCGAAATCAGAAGATCCGTCATCTGCCTGCATCATCTGGAGAATGCTTGCTTGCCGAGGTCGTCTCCTAAAATTGCTCAATATCGAACTCTCGAATCCTGGAGTGCCAGGTATTTTGGAGCTCATATCAGCCCCTCGTCTGCCAACAGAGAGCGTAGATGAATAGCCTCGAGCTCTCGTGGGTGGCCGGCTGCCCGTAGCTCCACGTTCTCCCATAGGCGAGGACTCAATTGCTTGTTCTTGCTTCTTGTTCATGGGAGTCTGACCCCTCAATTGTCTTGCGAATTTGATATCATCAACACTAGGTGCCGACTGTGCCTCCAGCCTCTTGTCATCCTCGGTTTCGTGTAGACGTCCTGAATTGGTGGCAGTAATCTTGGTTTCAGGATCTTTGGTTTTCTGCGATACCTTGGACGAAGCTGGGACATGTTGCGATGTGAGACGATTGCGCTTTGTAGGTGGACGTGGCATTGTTGTGTTGTGTCGGTTCCAGAAACTTCGGATGCGGCGAGATGAAGAAAAACAGGAAGGGCAAGGCTTTTTCCCCCTGAACAAAGGAGTGCGCCGAATTACTTCTTAATAGAGCGGGATTACTGTGTATAATCAATGGCCCGTTTGAAGTCTCGTACGCGTAGTTAGCGAGGTCTGTTTGGGGTATATTGAAACGTAGAACGCGTCTTCAAGGATGGGTATAGATAGATAAATGGCGCAATGATTCATAGAACCAGGATCTTGACTAGGAACAAGAGTTGCTAGCTAGGACACATAGGCTGTTCTCGTACATCAGTACTTCTCCCCGATCAGCTCGCGTCGCCACTGATTAGCGATTGTTTTGGTGGTTTCGACGCGTCGGGTGGCCTTTCACGTGTTTGGATCACTTCCAGGTAGGTACTTTACTCTTTTAGGATATCCCATGATTTCTAACAAGCACTCTAGGCCGGGTCTAGCTCTGGGAACTGGTACCAGATTTACCACAGTGACAGTAAGGTACCCTCGGCGAGGGTAAAGCAAATGATGAAGTCAGAGTGCTATCTATCTAGGTGGTAAAGGTACTATTATTATGGATTATTGGTGCCATCCTAAACTCCGTACCTCTCTATACAAAAAGCTCTATACCCAGTGCATACCGCGAGGTACCTGAGCAGTTATGTCCTATATACCAAGATCTTTGAGCTTTCAACCGTGTAACCTCGATGTCAATGCTATGGTTCCCGACCTGTAGGAAGATGACGGTTGATGTATTTACAATACTAGTTTTACTTCGGCAATACAAGGCTCATATCCTTCATACCTACCTAGGTACCGAGCTAGGTAAGGTAGGTATTAGTATCCACGTATAGAAATAGGTACCGACGTAATTTGTTTAATGAAAACTGTTCTAATATCTGCTCCAATATTCTCTCCGTTGACCATCCAGCACGGATCAGTGGCCGTCTCTAGAACTAGTTGCCGGTGCTAAAATCAATGAATTATAGTCTCACTTCTACGCTTGACCGACCCTAGGTAGTCATGTATCCCAATCATTCAAGGCAGATTCCTTTTCGAATCCCAAAAGGCTTTGAACAAGGCGGTTTCCACTACTCGGTCCTGAAAGGTTAATATTATTTTAATGTTCATACAGTAGCTACCTAGGATGCCCGTGGCTCTGATAATCCGTTTAATCCAGCATATGGAAGCGCCTCTTCATCACAGATTGTACACCTACCTACCTAGTCGAAGGTGATATTGCGCCCTATTTGAGGTAATAATACAACAACAACAACAAGAAGAAGAACAACAATAATAATAATAAAATAATAGTAATTTAATGAATGAGCCCGGGTACACTCACTAGAGTCATCCACTATGGCCCATTGAGGTTCCTGATATCACCTTCTCCGCATCGCACTTAGATGAGCTTGCCTCCTGATTCGGTTGTGCTTCTACACTTCTTTTGTATCGAATGATATTATGGTAGGGTTTAATCTATTACTGCATTATTATTGGGCCCAGCGATTCAGTGAAACCTGGCTCCTTCAAACTCCCAAGTCATTAGTATTGTCTTTCCCCCGCTCCCCCGGATACTAAAGACTACCTAGGGAGTCCAACAATATAATAAAATGCACACTATGGCCTGCCTTAGACTCACTCAGGGAAATGTCAATCTCGCTTCTCTGGTTCCCGAAGTCGTCTGCTCAACCAGGTATTTTGGCCTTTCCCCTCCTCCCTGCTTACTTCTCGGGGCTCTTCTTGTGACATCTCACTGATTGTGGCATTTCAGCACTTGGTGTGAGAAGCCATTCGAGCTGTATCGGGAGAGCCACATAAGAGCTGCTTAGCGCTTGATGAAATCTCACCATGGGCTTTTAATCATCGGATCATCATCTACATTGACTCGTCTACCTCTGTCCTAGGATCTTGTTCTCAATTCCCAGCTCTCCTACCGCATTTCGAGGATGTTCCAAGCCACAGGACTGAGAGTTTGGTCTTAGATGACAGACAGTGCCACTATGAAAAGCCTACTCAGCCCATGCAGAGACTACAGATTCATGCCATTTTTGATTTCTTCCATATCTCCAAAGTCTGGGCAGACGAATTTCTCTCATTGTGATATGAAAGAACCTTGGCCATTCACATCATGACGGCCTCTCCAGAGAGAGACTTGGTCCTCGACTCGGCCACTGCAGGTGGCACTTCCGAATTTCAAGTCAGCAAGAAAAAGCGATCCAACTCGGAGCTAACAGAATACCCTCGGAGACGTGCGACGATCGCAGTATGTATCCTCGACTTCTTCTTTCCACTTTTGCCCTCCCCCTTTCCGCTCGTCACCTGGGCATTAGTTGACCCATGAGGAGCACCGCAGTGCCAGATATGTCGCTTACGAAAGACTCGATGTAACGGCGCGCGCCCGAGGTGTCAACTTTGTACAGACCTGGACGCAGACTGTGTCTACAGGGAACCAGGAATCAAACTCGATGCTGGCGACAAACTAATCATTGAGAGATTGAATAGAATCGAGGGTCTACTTCAGTCTACTCTGGTGGGACAAGCAACCCATTTCCCATTGTCTTCAACATCCCCTACCACCAGCAATGATACGAATGTGGGCAGCGATGATGCGGTCGCCAAGGCATCCACTATCGCCGCCATGTCTGGGAGAACCTCCGTTGCCGGACTTGGGTCATGGGTGAACCCACCAACGAGCATCTCAACGATGCCCAAGGTGCATACTACTCCCGCGCTACACCTTCTACAATGGCCCCTTATTCGGGACCTGGTCGCTGGTCCCTACGATCCGCAGACGTTACTGCAGCTTGAAATGGCCCGCGAGCCGCTTAGGTTTCCTTCCGCTGCAGGGTTCGACTTGTCCAATACAACAACGTATGTACAGTCTTTTTTCGAGCGGGTCAATGTCTGGTACGCCTGTGTGAACCCATACACTTGGACACGCTATTACAGTAAAGCCGTCTCTCTGGGATTTCGAGAGGGACCCGAAAGCTGCCTTGTCCTCTTGGTATTGGCTCTAGGCAGCGCCAGTCACTACGGAAGCATCTCGTTCATTCCTTCAGATATGGACCCCCCAGGACTACCTTACTTCGCAACAGCGTGGACTCTTCTGCCATCAGTAATGATGCGCAACTCTGTTCTGGCTGCTCAGTGCATCATCCTTGCATCTGCCTACTTATTCTACCTAGTCAGACCGCTGGAGGCTTGGACGCTTCTCTCCAATGCTAGCATGAAATTACAATTACTCTTCGGGGACCCCGCCCGTGTACCCCTTCAGTGGAGAGAACTGAGTGTGAGAGTGTACTGGAATGCTCTCTTATATGAGAGCGACTTGCTGGCGGAGTTGGATCTGCCTCACTCGGGCATTGTGCACTTCGAAGAAGTTGTCGACCTTCCCGGTGGTTTCGAGGAGGAGGAGGACGAAGAAGATGATGAAGTTGACAATGAAGATCGTCAAAACAGCTTAGTGGAGGGCTCGGTAGGCCGCGAGGAACTATGGTATTTCCTTGCTGAGATCGCTCTTCGACGACTTTTGAATCGCGTCAGCCATATGATATACCAGAAAGATAATTCGCTGACGCTTGGATCGCTTGGGCCCATTGTCTCGGAGCTGGATTTCCAGCTTTCCCAGTGGTATGAGAGTCTCCCTCAACCAGTCCAGTTCCCCCTCAACCACACACCGATTTCCAACCCCGTCCAGACAGTCCTCCGATTGCGATACTACGCGTGCCGGACTATCATATACCGGCCTTACATCTTAGCTGTCTTTGAGAATGAGCACGCTGCCACTGATCAGGTAGTAAGGGAATGCTGCCGGCGGTGCTTGGAGGCCACGCTGCGCCAGCTGGAGAATATTACCAGTCATCGCGAAGGCCATCTGCCGTATCTCTGGCAGGGCGCGCTCTCTATGGTATCGCAAACATTGTTAATCATGGGGGCCACGATGTCCCCCGGACTCTCTACTTTATTGCCTCCGGGATTCCGAGTGGATGCGATAATATCCAGTGTGATGGCTGAGGTGGAGAGATACGCACACCTTGCGCCAAGCCTCAAATTATCTGCAGAGATTATTCGCGACGCAGAGAAACGACGGCAAATTTGTCTCAGATCGACCAGTCGGCGAGTATAGAGGAGTCGGAGGGATCAGTTGAATTCAGGCTTCGCCATCTATCATGCGATAAATACACTCAATACTGGGTGACTGTTTCAGGACAGCTGACAGGGAAGCTAGGGTCTGATGCACAAATGCCATAATTCATTCTTCTTTTTATTCATGCTTGATCCCAGTCCTGATAATTCGATCTCGGTCTCCTCCCATCGTCTCTGAAACTCCACTCTTCGCGCTTCCTTGTACTTTGTTCTTTCACCTGGCACTTGCTCAAAGCTCTCCAGTAATCGCAAATCTACTCAAGTGACAAGCTCAGTCCAATAAACACAATTCTATTAGCCCAGCTCACTTGTGGGTAACATATGACATGAGGTGTAAGAGACTGAGAATCCCCAGCGAGAGGACATCACCGTCGATATAATTACTTGCCTTCAATACTTGAGACAAAATGTGAAAATCTGGGCAGATTTCAAAACTTGCTACCATGGCAAACGGACAAGCACATACAACCCTTCATATCTCGAAAGCAATCTAAGGCAATGGTATCGCATGAGAAAATACAGTAACAGGGTATGTAGAAGGACATATTCAACAGACAAAGCTGAGATTATAGGTCATGATAGTCGACGGTCGTTCATGCATTAGTGACTTCGGCGGTGGAGGGGGAGGGACAGGGGCAGTTCCGTTTGAAATTCTAATAAGGAGAATTTAGTATGGGAGAGGTGTATCAGTGTTAAAAGGAGGACTTCAGAGGGCACGAGAGTTAAAATAGCAGGAGCTAAAGGGCTGAGACCGTCGATGGTGAAGCAGTAAAGTGCGCTAAGGCTCGAACACCTTTACACTCAGATCAAAACCCATTCACTTCCTCTCTTGATGAACTTATCAAGCATCATGCCAATGTCGTTCAAAGCGAATCGGCAGATATAGAATCCGAAAAACTCGGCAGCATGGCGTGTACTCAACTCCAGGCCGACTAATGTGGGCGAGGAATGTTTGAGACCGGGGTCTTCAACTTGCTGGGCAATCTGGTCTACATCAGATAGCCTCCGTTAGCAGAGCAGGATTGACAAGCACGAGAAAAGGTACTCACCCAGCACCTGCGCAGCGTCGCACAGTCGGGCGAGCGCTGCCATATAATGTGCGTTGGGTCCACTGAACTGGACCTGTTGTGTAACACGCCTGGCAGCCTGGGAAGTCGGCAACGAAGTCATGGGGAGCGAACTGATTGTTAAATTATCTTTGCTGGTTTCTTTGGAATGCACTGGTGTAGCGGGAGCACCGAAGCCTGAGTTTTTGGAACGCAATTTTCGCCACGAAGTTAGATATGACGATTTGCTTGAACTGCTGTTGACTTTCTGCGGCATATTATCAAACCCATTTGCCGCATCCTCAGAGCTCTGAGAATATTTGAAGATCGGCAAAGCCCCTTGCACGCCGACTTCGCTGCTTATCTTCTTTGACAGAGACACCTGCACCTGGTCGAGCACAGCTTCCAAGGATTGCATTTCCTCCAGGACGGCGTCGGCATCATAAGTGTCCACCTTAGCAAGCTTAAGTAACGCCGCCGTCAACAAGTCGCAGTTGGACACCTTTTCTTCGACCGCCCTAAGTTTCACGTTTTTAACGCCCCACACATCATGGGGCACGAATAGCTTCGTAGATAAATAACCGCCTCGCGGATGAGCGATGGTCTGGTAAATACATCTCATGAGCCAGAATGGACGTAAAAGAAATGACTCGGGACACGGCTCTAAAGGAATAGGGGCGTTCGCAGCCATTGGATTGGGGGATCCGGGACTCGTCGGTGAGTGGATGTGGCTATCGAACAAATACAGGCCTCCACTGGTCAGACCGGACGGCGCAAAAGTTGCACCAATAGGTGTAGGTAGAGAAGGAGCCGGGCCAGTTGCCGTTCCCTTATGGAGGTCCGGGAATGCACCGCTTGATGGCGTTTCCGGGGAATTGGCAGACAGATCAGGCGCCGGCACAGAGACATTCCTCGGCCGGAACGTCTTCAGACCTGAATTTAACTTGCCCAGGTTGTCTGGAGCTGAAGGCACCTTGCCAATCAGACGGGCGGGTGATGGCACCTTCGATATCCTGGCATACGGTTTTCCCTCCTCTGTAATAATTTTCTCTAGTACTTCAACGGTGGAACCATCTTCAGCCAGTGATGCAATTGAAGCATTCCTTCGGCTGAGATGCACGGCTGGTGTAAGAACGGAAGCTGAAGCGGGAGTTTTTGTACTAGAGCTTGCGGAAGAGAGTGTTTGAGATCCGTCTTTGGGCACAGGGGGTGGTCGAAACGAGTGCGTATCCGCGGAGCTTTGGGTGAGCGCATCATCGCCAATCTTAGGACGAGAGCTTGTTTCGATTTTCAGTTCCGTCGGGTTTTGACCTGACATTCGCCGTGCTCGCACGCTTGGACTCGCTGTTAGCACAGAAGACTGTTTGGGTAGGCCGGAAGGAACATGAGGCGAGGAAACTAGGTCGAACTCCAATGGAGTAAGTGCGCTCTGAGATTTCTCTGATTGATCCTCTAATACAACGTCATCTTCCTCCAGCGGAGCCAAAGTCACGCCGGGTGTTGTTGTAGCTGAATTAGGGACCACCGAGCTCTCCCAGGTCCTAGCGGATAACACGCTCGAACCTGACTGGCGCGGAAGAGCAGATTTTGACTGGAGATCAAATGCGAAATCATCCATAACGTAGCCACTGGTCATCTCATCCAACAATCGCTCCTCTTCTTCAGCTTCATCGTCAGGATAATCCTGGATCAAATCACTTGGATGGTCGAGCTTCGTCTGCTCGAGTATGTGGCGAAGATCGTGGCCCTGTGTTATTGCTACTTCCGCTTCTCTTTCCGCTTCCCTTACTCTCTGTTTTGCCAACTCAACGTTCCTGCGAGCGTTCGCTACAATCTCATCGTCTGTATCGTAACTGTCCACCTCTACCGCTGGTTCCAGGCCTTCATCGTATGCAGCCTCAACGGCAGCATCTAATGCAGCATCAAACTCGGCTTCAGTACCATGGCTGAAGCGGTAGCTTCTCCTCCGCCGTAGATACACAGAAGATACTCGGGAGTGCTGGGAAGAAGGTGAAGAAGCACCAGACTCGTCGATTGTATCGAGCCAAGAGGTTGACTCGTAGATGTCCCTGGCGTGAGTGCTCAGTAACGTCAACTCAGAATGAGGATCCCCGGAAGACGAGGATTCCTCATCCTGACCGAGTCCTCTGGTCAAGTATGTATCCTGTGGAGGGCCCAGTGCGCCCTGAAACAATTTCTCCGACGCTTGCCTGGACGGATCAGACTGAGCCGGTCTGCCGGGCACGGGTGACGATATGGCATACCTTGACTCATCCTCCAGAGGCGACGGCAATAGCGACTGACGCCTCGGAGGCATTTGATTGGGCACCATGGTTCTAGATCCTTCAGAGATGGGATGATCATGAACGAAAGATCCGGACTGCAAGTAGTCATATCTCTCCTCAGGATGAAAATCATCCTCGTCATCTATGGGTTGCGACATGGCTCCGTATGACTCCTGACTAAGAGGACGTTCAGGAAGCGCTTTGCTGTTAACTTCGCGGAAGGAGAAGTCCATACGACGCAGCTCGGTGACACGAAGCATATAGGTGTCGCGCTACAATATCCCTGTCAGTAAGTTCTGCAGGGTAGAGAGGGCAAACTCACAATCTCTTGAAGCTTCATTCTCTCGTCTTCTCCTCCGTTGCTTCGCAGCATGACTAGTTGTAGAAGTTGGCAAGCATCGTTGTAAGCTTCCATTGCACCTTCGAAATTAGCTGCATTGTCCAGGAGAACTGCAGTATTAGCCTTCTGCAATGCTTTAGAAAGCATTGCTTTCTGGGAATAGGCCCGCCGCCGTTGTCCAGAGCCATATCCCTTTGCTGATGCTGGGCGTGAGCTGTCGGAAACCTGTTGAGAGCTCGCTAGATCGTGAGATAGATTACGTTCGCCAGAGCCCATGCTGAGTGAGCTTGACTTTGCCCACGGGTTTTGGAAGAGAGCCGGGGAGGCTAACACAGGCTCCGATGTCTCAAGGTTTGAATCGAAGGTATCATTCGCCGCCAACTTGGGTATCGTACCAGCATCTGATGATCCAAGTCTGGACGCTTCGGTATGGCTCGCTGACATGGAAAGCTGGGAGACACGAAACCCCTGTGATTGGCCACGCTGGTGATCGAGAACGTAACACTCAGGGCTAGAGGTGCTAGCCGGGCTTGCATTTGCCTTCGGAGATTCAATATTACTAGGCGATGAATTTCCCCGAGAACGGTTGACAGGCGAATCCTTGCTAGAAACGGTCGATTGAGACCAGCGATTCAGGCTACCGAGGCCTTCTTGAATCCCATTAGAATCGGTTTGGGTTTCCGAATTTGCGTTGGTCGTCCGCTCTGGTATCAACTCGGGCATTGTTATAATGATTGTGGTGGAGCTCGTGGTGTTTTCAGGGACAGTGAGTTTGCCTTGGTTCAACGTTGTCTTCCACATGAACGTCTGTGCAGACCTTTTTTCATTTCCCAATAGCTGCCAAGCGAGAAGTAAGAGGTGGCTATTCTGCGAGGCAACCACAAGTAGGCATATATAGATTGTCGATGCCTGAACTTAATATATATTCCTCGGTTCTGAGCGCCTTGCTCAGCGCATCGTTGTTTAGCGCAGGATGCAATGCGTTCACGGACAGCGCATTGCTTCCAGGAGACAGCCAGCGAGCAGCGCAATCAAAAGCAACGTACACTTTAGGGTAGCCGGTCGCAATTGCAGTTCAAGCGAGGCGGCAGAGACCGGAGCAAGGAGATAGTTAGCCAGGCGATCAAAGTGGTCACTTCGGCAGGAATCGACGGACGGCTAAGAAACATCAGAAGCGTGGTGATGGTGAGTTGGAAATTCGGCACGGAAATATATCAGGGACGATAAACTGCAGAAAGAATTGGAATTGTGTCAATTGCCGTTTATTGGGGAGTGGGCAAAAGCCAGCCAACAAGATTGCGCAGAAGCTGTCTATAGGTAGCCTCAGACGTACCACCGGCTTGTTTAGCAGATTATCGAGCATAGAGAACTGATACCGTATAGTTTTGCACGTAAAAGATGAATTCGAGATTGAAAGCGAGATCTAGCTTGAATAAGAACGCCCAGCTACAGGATGGTGGGGAAAAATATACGAAATCTCAAGACATGATTATTGATAGTGGCATCATTATTGGCGATGGGAGGCGGTTCAGGGGAGAGAAGCGGAGGTCTGGTCAGTGGTCAGTGTCACCCTGGTGGTTGGACAATTTGCGGTGCGGAAAAAGGGGGCAGTGGGGGTGTCGATGTCTGGACTATCAGGAGGGAAATTCTTGGAAGTACACTCAATGATGTTATTTAAGCTACTGAAATTAGTGTCGGAGTCTATTACACTATACTGTTCGGTCTCATGCAAGCTTTCCCCAGTCTAATATGTAGTCCACTCTGTAGCAAACTTGTGTTCTTTTTACCTACGTTATGTTTTAGTGATGGTCCTGCATTGCCAAGAAAATAGGTATACTTTAAATTACTCGATATGGATACCTATGTCCCTTAAAGGTGTGGCGCTAGTGCATATATGATTCGTGATTGATTCTCCAGGTCGGTTTTAGATCCTAAGATGCTATAGATGTATATTTTATCTACTGGTGATTATTGCCATTCTGCCACTGATTTAGATGATAGACAAGTTTAGTGCATCTATAAGTGCCCTTTGTAAGTATTAGTGCTATGACTATCAGGTGTGTACATCAGGAGGATCGGAGAGACTGGTATCTGACTGTATCCTTAGAAACAATACCTTGCTCATGGACAGGAACGGTCTATCTTTTCTATAAAAAGCAGCATACCGTCGCAATGGCGATAATATTCTGGCTTAGCAGCATCATCGCTCTTCTGCCCCACCTGAAAAATTCCCTGACGTTGGCAGTTGTACCGGGCACGAACAAGAACCGAAAGTTGATGGTGAAATCGATATGGACTATCTAATCTGAATATCAAGTGACTGACTGTTCTCTTCGCCCAAGCGTATACTACCATGGTACATATGCATCACGATCGAGGAATCCCCTGTTGAAGGAGATAACTAGTCTCTTTGGACAGCCATTGTCATGTAATTGACGGCAGGTTGCAGGCTCGACGCTATCCGATGGAGAGACATTCGTGTCCACGGACATATTGGCAAGACCACTCCAACAATTTATCGGGCGTTGAACGGATAGAAGAACAAAGGTCGCTACAAAGCCTAGTCTATGCCGTCTATTCCCTGCGTTGGAAGGTGGTCAGTAGATGACATTAGCAAGAACGATGAAATGGTTGTCGACAGATGTGAAAAATAGCCAGCAATTCTGGCGAGCCATGGGCAGGCCCTCATAACTGCAACCAAGGTATTATTGCGTTATGTTGGAACTTCTCCCGGCCCTGTCATTAGTAGGAACGACATTCAAACCAGGACATGAAGGCCGAATATATGGATTTTCCTGTCGAACCCATCTCCCATCGAACCCTCCTCACGTGTAGAATTTGATCGAGCCCGCAGGAGAAGGCTCGGCCATAAATACATCCTATTTGTATGTTCTCCATCAGTTAATGTCAAATTGTATGCCAATACAGGCTCATAACTGAGAAGAGATCCGGTCTCATGAAAGCCAGAATTATGGGCGGCATGGCATCGCATCGGTGTTGCAGGCAACAGATACCTTTCTCTGCACATAGCATCTTCCAACCTGTCTAAAACAAATCACCTAGAAAGTTGCTTCCTACACCTTTCCAGCAAGCAATTTGTGACGGAGACGATATTACGGAAGCCTTATTTGAAACGACTTCTTGTGTGTATTTACCCGATGTGCCTAGGCAATCCTACAGAGTCAACAAATCTGAACGAACTTGCGAGATGTTTCAGCGCTTCGGCTCCCCCGCAAGAAGATGCTTATAAATTGGCTTCTGTGCCAGGAGGCTGGGCTACTTTCAAGAACGGCAACAAAAGGCTAAATCCTCCACGACTGTAGGCCGGGACGCGGAGCTCAAGGGCACTCTAGCATTTGAGTCCCTGAAGACAGTACCTCGAATTGTGGATGCAATTGAGGCAAACAATGCCTGCTTGGGAGAAGACTGGAAGTGCCTTTCAAATCACTGAAGGATAGAAGCTCATGAGCCTGTGTATGTCTACACCCTGTGAGCAACACGGAAGGTTATCGCAGCGCGGCCTCCACAATCTTTCCTTTCATTCTCTTCCACTTCTCCTCTGCAGCTTTTTCAGCGCACACCATTTGTACAATTATAAACAGAGAAATATGTATAATTCATCCATTGTGGTTCCTGAGCCAAATAAAAGAGCTTGTCCTAAGTCTAGTCTTCCTCACTGGTTGCTTCAATATTCTTCTTCATTGAATATTTGCTCTCAGATTCCGCGCTATGGTCTGTTTCATCACTATCATCCCCATTTGGCTTTTTCTTAGCCTGAGGATAATCTGGCCGTGGCACAAACTCCCCGCTCTCTTTAAGCGCCATTTCAATATCTGGTAATAATGTTACAAGAACAGAGAACTGGTCAATTGGTAAAGAAATACCCTATAGTGCAAGTCAGTTGAGGTGGGACAGCGCCTCATGTCAATTTCATTTTACCTTTTTCCCGGGGAGCTCTTGCCCATCCTTCTCGTAGTACTCTCTGATGTTGACGAGTGTCTTCCCTCGAAAGGAGGAGATAGTGACACGACGCATTTTAGAAAGCTCCCAGAATTTGTCTCCATTTGCATCAACTTTCCAGTTCACTGCGTTGAGCATGTTGTGAGGTGATGAACTCATTGATGCTTCGGTTTTTGCTTTCTTCTGCTGGAAGTTTTCATTGTTGTTGCAGTCATCGCTGACACTTGGCAAGCGCTTCCCGGGCCCAGACGGCATCCCCAAGAGCTGGTCGTGGATAAATGGAGAAAGAATCAAGAATGGATACCGTGGTAGTATGAATAAGAGAGAACTACAATTTAAATGTCGATAGTGGTTTGAAAAGCATAACTAGCGATTCTCTAGTACCTTTCATATAAGATGATTCAATGGACGCGTGAATATAAGACGCGTCATATCATGTGAGAAATAATGGAGTAGCAAGGACTAAGTGGGTCCTGATCTCCCAGCTGGGTTTAACGCCTTGAACTAAACTCTGAGGTCCACCTATGTTGTATGTACTGTTAAAACTTGTAGCTCCATAAGTCTTGTATGTCTTTTAGATACGCAGATGAGAGATCTATCACACTACTATAAAATATGTAGAGGTACTTTTCCAACTTCCACAGCTAATATTGATGCTATCTAGTAATATATATGTTCAGAGCTTTGAGGAACGAGTATCAAAAGATTTAAGCCATTTTTCTACTTCCACTATGCAATAATGTGTACATTCGAACAGAAGAAAGACAACTAAATCTCTAGCTGATATTCAAAGATCTAAGATCCCTATTGATAAAGGATCATATGCTCCTTCTTACAACCTTTTGGTCGGGTTGGAGTTGTGTAGCTTTTGATATAAGAGTTTGCCAACAGGTGATGCAAATTTTGAACACGCGAATCTGAACATGCGAAACACCATTTAATGTTCAAATTCACCTATTCAGACGTCATCCTAATGATAATTCCTGGGCAACGTCTTCCACTGATCATCCGGCTAAGAAGGGAGAGAAATAATCATCAGCCTCACACCATTCTCGGATGGATCAGAAAGTCAGAGCTCTCAGAGCTTGCAAAAGAATGGAGTAAACAAAACCGCGTGCAATCATTTCGACCTGTAGGCAATCAAAGATCCTCTCGAGTGATTCGCGACTAGCAGCGGCCCCCATGACACTTGTAAGCGCCTGCGGTAGCCCCTTAAGGACAAGTGTTTTTCTCGCAGTTTCCCTCATACGCTCCTTTTCCGCGCTGCTGGGCGACGGAGGCCAGGACTCCAGCTCCTCTTTCGTCGGCAGGACATTCTCGCGGAGCTTGGCCAGATAGGATGCGATTGATGCATCCGAGGTATTAGCATCAATCATGGTCTCCTGTAAGAGAGTGCGAATCGTCTCTAAACTTGGGCTTCCGGGGCGTAAAATATACGTCTTGGCTGCGTTCAGAAGTGTTCTCCTGATGTTCCATGCGGATGACAATGAGTAGAGTTCATTGATAACCGCAAAGATGAGCTCCACAGCTATTTGTGTCTCCTCCTGGGAGATAGGGCTTTCTTGACGCCGCACCGTACTTTGACCATCTGACGCTTTCTGCTCCTCCTTCGGTCTTATGCGGGAACCAATGTTAGCTCCACCATCAGAGTCAGACAAAGGCCCCTGGAGATGATTACTCTCGAGTTTTGAATCGGAAGATGCAAGATCTCCAAACCTTGGTATAGTAGAGTCAACAACGCTTCCGCTTCCAGGGCTAGGAGGGACTTCCTGAGAACTTGAGGACTCGGGGGTAGGGACAACAGCTAATGAATAACGCTCTGTCTTATCGTTCTCGCTAACAGGTCTCTTCGGCCCGTTCACACTGTCAGAGACTATACTCTCGTAGTTCATTTGTGAGATGGATCGAGTTGATAGGGAACGGCCATGGTTTCCTTGATATCCTCTGGAGCTGAATGATGTTTTTTTGCCGTTCGCTCCCCCAAACACCCCGGTCACACCACCAATGACTGCTTTACCACCTTCAGCAACGCCCTTTGGTGCGTTAGTCAGAACACCTAGCATACCTTTGCCCATGTTTTCGAGCGCCAACGAGGTGGGAAACGGAAACCCAGATTTAGCTGAGGCATCGCTGGCGCCAGGATCGAGGCGGTCATCCTTCTGCAAAAACCGTTTCATTCTCTCGCAATCCGCAAGTGCTTCATACTGAAGGGCATCCTTAAGGTATCTCTCCAGATTACGCACTAGGGCCCCTTTTGTCTCCCCCTTCCAAGGTGGCAAGGCAGGGTGGCTTTCCGTGAAATCCTGTATCTTATTAAGCCTTGCTATCGTTCCAAGGGTGCCGTGTAGTGATTCAAAATCTGCATAATTTCTGAAAATCATCCACCCAGTGCGACGTGTGGCTGCTGGCTCGATTTGGATCAAATAACTCGATGTAGGCTTTGACCGAATGGATGCTTTTTCACTAGCTTCAGAAAGCTCCTCTACTGAAACGGATGCATGATGAAGAGTCGTGACAGGTGATTTTTTAGATGGGGAATCCGATAAATGCGAGGCTGGCGGTGCCATGCATGGGTCTGTAGGTTGAACTGGAGGATAATGTTTCGTGGACTCTATCTTTGTCAGATCATAATCATTCCGAATCTCTGCGGCGTCTTTGGCCTTCGGTGTATGGATTGTTGCCTCCTTTCCTTGGGTCCCGACAAGCGAGTGGCGCGGCAACATGGTTGACTGGGAATCTGAGGACTGCACATCTTCAGGCGAACACAGATGAGCGGTTCGGACCTGCAAGTCTTCTGTCTGAACCGTGGCGCCTCCTGGTGGATAGATTGGAACCTCAACGACCTTGGTCGTAGGAAGAATTCCATAAGTATTAGAATGTCCAGCAGGTTTCCCCTCAATATCTGACTTGCTAAACGGAACTGTTGTAGACCTGTTCTCTTCGTGGGCGCCTTCGACCGCGACCACTTGTTCCTTGGCCCCCTCGACCCCCGCATCAATGGCGTTCAACAACTCCGATTCACCTTCCTTTAAAAGATGAATGATCCAGCCATTGACCGTCTCAGATCGCGAAAGATTGGAGATTGCCGACTCTAATACTAAACCGGCCAGAATCTCGCGAAGGAATGCCCTCAGCACGGAACAAGCGTACGCTCTTGGTTCCAAAAACCTGGATAGGATGTCATCTGCTACCATTTTTAATTTCAATCGCTGCTGCTGCTCCGACAAAATGTTCGCTAAACTGCTTTCCGGATGTAAATCCAGGTACCGTTTGACTGCATCTTCTGGCGTCAAATGGCCCTCGACATGCTGGAACGCCGCTGACAATTCATTCAAGAGCACGATAACCATAGAAGAAGAATTTGTAAGAAACTCCAAGAATGCATCTGCCGGCCGTTTTCGAGAAAGATGAGAGGACAGAGAAATAATAAAGTCTCTCAACAATTTCCGGCACGAGAGAGGGAACATTTGCTCTGCTGGCAATATGGGTTTATACCAGTGACTTGTATTCTGTCAGAACGTGTGGAGACATATGTGACGCGAACATACTTTACATAGTCCTTTATAACAGCATTGGTCAATGACCGCAATGCTGCCGCTGTCTTGGGCGGAAAACCAGAGAAATCTAGCTCAGGCTCACACATCCCCTCAGCAGCTTCGGCAATAATCCCGCCGTTTGATTTTGGTTCTGGAGGTTTGCGACTCGATAACTCCAGCAATCGGTTTGCTATGTTCAGAGAAAGCTCCTTCCTCCTATAGATACTGGAAGTACCCGTTGGATCCCCCCTAAGACCAGTATCGGCTGCCTCCCATGATGCATGTATAGCGACACCGGCCACCAGCCCAATCAAAAGCAGTCCAATCCTGCCTAGAAGAACATAAGTTACTATCGCCAAGGACGTAACAAGCCAGGTCAATGTTAAATTATCGGCCGATGAGAGGAAACGTAGCATGTAATCAACTGGCTCCTGTGATGGGGTAATGGTAGGTATCAAATCACTGGGTCGATTAAAATCGTCATGACGTGAGGTCAGAAGACAGTCAGCGGCATCCCGGACATCGGAGCGAGTCTCGCTCGAGGGAGACGGAAGAGGCCTGTCAATGGAATCATCCATAATGACTTTCCTCGGGTGAGGATGGCATTAGCCACGATTGTGTCGGGTCTATTAACGACTTGGGGGTCGTAGAAACGATCAGTTGAAACAGATTAGGGTTTTTGTGATGGGTATAGGCTAAAAGCTGGGCCAATTTCTCTGGAGCCAGAGACTGCGTTTCCACCCATCGCGTTCATACAGAGCTTCCTCAGTACGAGCTCTAAATACTCAGTAAATGACGATACCTTCCCATTTTTGGTCCCAGATAGTGATTATATAATATGTCACGCGTTGCTGACAGCCTTTCATGGTATGGGTAATATCACGTGAGACCGAAATGAGGTGGTGCTGGTTAATTATGATGATGTGTCTTCCCATATGTATCAGATCCATACTTGTTATTGGTCCATTGTTCAGGAGTCTCATTTGGGTGCGACCAGGAGGTGGAAATAATTAGAATTCTATAGCTTAACAACAGACTAGATGGTTTATGTGCCCATTCTTTATTACCTCACATCTTGATGAGATGGTGAGGTATCTAAAGCTATCCAGAATGGGTTTATAATCTCCGCTATCCGAGTGAATCCAGCATTCAAAGAGCATGTAATCATGCCAGATGCAAAGAAGACGGCGGGCTTGTATAAGGACTTGGCGCATAGCCATCGAGCTATTCTGTTATGTTTCCCCAGCGCGCAAGACGCTGTCGGCGAGTCATGGATAATCAAGAGAGCTGTCCTCAAGTGGTTCTGAGGTATTTCGTGTGTGAACCTTTGGCAACGATAGTCATCTTCCCCGCCTCTGATTTTTTGGAAATAATCACTGTCGTGAAACCAAGTGTCTTCCCAACCTTATCCGCACAGCCTTCAATCTCAAGCCAGTCCCCTGTCGTGGCCGTTGACATGTAATTGACATGGATGTCGGTGCTCACACCTGTAGAGTCATGGCCACAGGACGCGATGGCAAGCCCACCAGCCCAATCAGTGACACATGCGGAAAAGGCACCGTGCAGTGTGTTTTTGGAATTCAGATGATGAGGAGCAACACGAAGGCGAGCATTAACTTTCCCCTTTTGCGCGCTATAGATTTCAACGTCGTTGAGGAGGAACGCGTATATTGGGCTGTTAACACGGATACGGTCCCAGACATTTAAGACCTGATGGAGCTCAGTGTTCATAATGAATGTGGTTTGTTAGTTTTATGATTGCGGCATTGATAGGGGGGAATAATCATCCAAAAAGCGTTGGACGATAGATAGCTGAGAGAAAAATTTTTTCCATCCCTGTCGAGGAGTGGGTTGATTTGAAGTTATGTTTAAGCCTTAGGGTTATCACCTAGCGCATGCCTAACAAGGTAAAGTCTGAAGTCTGCAATGTACGTAGGTACAAGGACATCACTCTTAGCAAAGAGCCTACCTAAGTAATCATCTGGAACGCGTTGTGCGAAACACGCCCGATTTATTTCTGGTTCGACCTTACTCAAAATCGCATCCTTTCAGTAGATCCATGCCTGGTTAGGTGTTCGTTTCGTTTGTTCATCAGCAGGAACAATACATCCACAAGCCTGTAATGGGACTTAGAACAACACTTTGATGTAAGTCACTTGTCTATTCTTCATTCCTCATCAAAATAGAACACCCGACAATGTAATTTTGATAGTAAACTTTGAATCTCTCAAATACACGGCGTATTCTACATGCTGCCCAGCATCATCCTGGAGCCATCATAGGGGCAGTATCATTGCGATTATCGTACATGACATCACCAATTCCTTTAGGGTCTATCACAGGTATACCGCTGAAAATCTTGATTGCAATCGTTCCGGTCCAACTTAGACAGGCAAAGCTCCCACGGAAAGGCTTTGGTGTCGCCGGTGTAAGGCAACGTATCTTCGTCTCCAAGTGGTACAAAATAACAGAAGCAAGGACTGGTCTACCGCCTAGTCCAGGCTTTGCTTGAGACCGGAAGCAGATCGAGCGTAAATATAGCGAGAAGAGATCGACAACTTCGAGCTGGGGAAGAATCAGTCCTTGACACTTCGATGCCGACCGTTTCTTGACAGCATCTGTGAAAGCATGAAGTGGTTTACATCCTCATCGGCCCAGTATGTCAAATGGCTGGCAATGCTTGCAATCAGAGATATATCGAATGCACCCCTATTGAAATGTATTAGCATCCTGGGCGTGGGTTCGAGGGATTCAGACAGTAATGTAAAGATCCTCGATAGCTGGAGGGAAGAAAAAAATAACTTACTCCTGGATGCTGTAGTCAACTCGTCCATTAGTATTGAGTGCCCTCATTTTAGCATCTTCCATCTTCAACCCCCTTGGGTCCTCGCTCTCTCGGCCAACGGCGGACTCAGTGGCCGCGGAATGTAGAATGTCATTGTGATGACTAGTCTTGGTTCTGTTGGTCCCTTCGTAGAGCGTTTCTAGATTCGAGTCAATCAGTGTACGGTATCTATCGGCAGACCCTTCTTGACTATCAACGCCCGAACCAGACCGAGAAGAACCATCCTCTCCAAGAGAAGAGTTAGCCAATGATCCTCGAGGCATTTGAGTCCCGGTAGCAATCACTGTGGATTGTGAAGTTTCCTCCGAACCAAGGCCGAGGCTGCGGTTAAGTAGACTGCTCGCGACCCCGGTTGCGAAATTGGTCCATAAGGTTCCAACACTCTGGCCAACACGACTGCCAATCATGGATAGGCTTTGCCCAGGAGCTGCCCACAGGCTCTTCTTTACCGATGGCAAGGGCTGCGGCTTGAGCGACGACATTGCCGGCGAGATTAGCGGCTCAATTCGGTAACTAACGGGATCAGAAGGGTGAAATATGTTGTAGAGTTGTCGGCACTTCGGTGACGATACGATAGTCGGCCCTCCACTCGGCGCCGTGCTCGCCTGAACTGGTGCGCCACGGCTCGCGGAGGAAGAAGACGTTGGGTTCCGATGATCACACTCCTCCTTGGACCTCTTGATTTTTGCCCGGTCGATCATAGATCGCCCAGCAATGGTGTTTCCTTTTATCATCTGGAAAAGGGCAATTGGAGACCCCAAACAAAATAATTCTTCGCAGTCAAAGTCGAGCAAAATGTCCTGAGACCCGACTCGGTCCATCCTCCTTTCTCCGGAGGTGGGAGGAGTCGACGGTTGGTGGCATAGGATATCAAACAGGATCGCGCTACCAAGTGAATGACCACAGAGGCTCACAGAGCCCTTGAATGTCGGATTTCGCTGCTTGAAGAGTTTTAGAATCCGATTGCACTCCTGCTTAACTATGGTAGAAATGTGTTCACAATAAGCACTTTGGTAGAGGAGTACGTCCATTGCCAAATCAGAAATGAGATTCCGGACTGCGGGAACGCTGTCAAGGGTAATATCGTTCAATCCGGGATAAGAACTGTCGTCATGAAAGTCTGCATCGGCTAAATCAAGTTCTTTACGATTCTGCCTCACTCCTCTGTAGGGAAAATCAAGGAGGTGTCTCCAGCAGCTAAATCCAATTAGTACGAGAGCTCTTTCGAGTGAATCCAGGACAGTATGATGGTCATAATCCGCAGTTGAGCACTTGACAGCTGCCGAGGGTGGGTTAACTCACACCGGAAGTACTTGAACGCGGCAGTTTTTTTGACTGTCTGAGAAACTAGAGTTCAAGGCTTGCAAATCAGGAGAAGCCTTATAGACGCTCTTCATGGTCTTCCGAAGAACATTCACATCATGAATAAAGTTGATGCTTTCTAGCCGCAACCCAAGTCGCTGGCCTATTCCATGTGTGACAAGGACCAAATGGTCAATCTGCCGCTCTCTGTCCTCTTCATCTGCTTCCCTGGAGTCTTCCATTTCCTTCTCTTCCTGCTTCCGCGCTTGCTCCTCAAGCTCAGCTGTATTTTGAGGTTCACCAGCAAGGGACGACATCTGTCGTTCCAGAGTTGACCTCGGATCATCCTGATTAGTCACTTTCTTCCTCCCATCCTCATTAGGGCGTGTGTCTGAAGAAACTTCCGAATCAGACTTGACCTCGTGGTCTGTCGAGGCTGCACTAGGGGTGTCGGAGGAAGATTTTGTACCAACGCTATGATCACGACTCTTCACAGCCGATGTTTCCTTCTGTCTTTTAGTTTCGATAAAACCACGCACCACTCTTGTACCTGGTATACCGCCCAATTTCTGGTACACGGTACTGCTCATTCGTGACATGAAATCGTCATTCGCCAACAAAGCTGTAGAATAATCCTGATATGTCACTATGCAGTTCATGTAAGCACCAAAAAGACGATAGTGCCGAGGCTCGTTTACTCGGCCAGAAGTTGCATGTCCAGCCTGACCAGTAAGTGGCCGCGAAGCACATGGTTCGGGTGTGCATTGCAACCCAGACTTGTTCACATCTGATCTATCTGCATGCTGAGGGGTTGGGTTTGCAACGGTCTGCGGGAGTCTGCTTTGGTCATTTTCCAGGCGCCATGGTTTAAGTTTGAGATATCCTTCCTCAAGCTGGGTGGCCAGGTTTTCTTCGCACGGCTTGAAAGTAGACCCCTCTTGGAAGAACCATGTACCCCGGCGCACTTCATAGGTGGGACCTATCCAGTACGCCGGTGTGAGCTCCCTTCGTTCAATGTCCACGTCAAATAGGTTGTCCTCATTGACAGGCACTGTAAATAACCCTTTCCTTGTTTCGCGAAGTAATTCACTCTTTCGTGTTTGTTCTTGAGCAATCTCGACGTCCGAGAGCTTTTGGAAAGTGGACTCAATGGCCAGGGAATCTTTCGACGAAAACGGGACAAACTTCTTGGGCGCAGGTAAGGGTTTCGGTTCTTCCTTCTGGTGTTCTGAGAGTAGTGGTTTCCGTTTTGGTGAGTCAACAGCGTAAAACCACCTCACCCTCAGCAGGGGACAATCCGGAGGGTAGTGGCGCAAGCTAAGTCTATGCCTGTGTGTGATTGTATGATCTTCGCCTTGAGATCTAGGAAGAACGTCTGGTCCATCGGTGTTGGGGGTATTCTTGGTGTTTCTTGATGCATTCCAGGAAGAGATGGCTCCCAGAAAGGACCCTTTCTGATTTTCCCTGGACATGAGGCCCTGGAGACCCCGAAAGATGAATGTGCGGGCCAAGGTGATCGTGATACTACTCAAATCCTTAGTTTGGATGAGAGGATAAAGACGCAGAATGAGGTGGCATTAGATGCGCCCGTATCGATGATTAAGAGTGTTAGGGATCGGGTATTGGTATGAGAGCTTCTTCGGCAAGCTAAACAGCGCAATATAATTACAATGGCTGCAATGGAAAAAAGAGCAGTCAGTCACTAAGGTATGTTACCTTTTATGGGAGGGACAAAACACATGGAGCCTAGTAATGGCTAAAGTGCCAAGATTGCGCCCTCTTGATGGTCATCGGATCGTCTCAGAAAGAAATAGATATTGAATGTAGAGAGGTATAACCTGAATTACCAATGCGTGGATCTAAATGTATGGCCCGCATGCGTGGTGGGATATCAGCAAAGAGCTTACCTATAGCGCACCTGAAAAAAATGGTGATACAGATTATCTGTAGGAGCCTAAGGTAAGGTACCCTGTATGTTAATACATGCCCACCTCCGAGATCACCAAAGGCCTCTTTCGTAAGATTACAACTGTATGGTACTCCTCGCACGTTGGGTAGTAGCAGAAAGCCCACCTCACTTCATGCGTCATCGTTTGACTGGTCATGTGATGACGTCGCCAGTATGAAATAGTCATTAGCGACGAACCAAAATGCATAAGTTTCAAGGGAGAGGATCGAACTTTTGAAGTGAATCTTAACTTCTTGTTCTATCCGCCTAGCAATTAGTCAATGGTTAATCACTCACCAGTATCAGCCTCCTATTTAATTTGAGGCGTGTTGATGTCGTTATTGTTGCCTCAAGTACTGCGTAATCCGTAAATGTTTCCATAAGCCACAACCCCACCCCGCTTCTCAACCTCCCGCTTCCAGTTCCAGGGGTATCCGGAGATTAGGTAGCTTTACTCATTGTCACTCTCTACCAGCTGCCTGAAACCACGCAACGCTCAGCTCGACAGCCCCGATTCCTGCGGTAATCTCGCGGCTGGGGGAGAAAACTTCACTCTTCCTGCTCTCTCGTTCTGTTTGCCTTCTTCCACTTATACTCTCGTTCTCATTCCGTTCCGTCTTCACATCCTTTCTTGAAGTCATCTCGGGGCCAGATCTATTCTGGTCTTCTTAAGGCTCCATCCACAGGCCGAGCATATCGGCTCATCGAGAAGATGAACGTTCTCAAGCTTCAGAGGTTCGTATAATCCCTCTTGTTTATCATGTGCCTCGCCGTTCTTCTCAACAGAGACCTTCACACAGCTTCTTAGTTTAAGGCTTTCTCACATGGGTCACGTCTAGGAAATATCCACACTTTGACCAAAGTGAAATTTTCTCCCTTCAGGATGCATTCAGAAAACTGGATGTTGACGATAAGGGGTATCTGGACGAGGCTACTGTGATCAAGGCCACCCAGCAGTCCGAACGTCAGCCGTACGACGTCGTGCGCCAGGCTTTGAAGGAAGTCGATCTCGATAGCTCTCGTCGAGTCGAGCTCGAAGATTATGTAGATGTTCGTGTTTGTATCCTCATCGCTACCGGGACCATGAGAAGCTAAAAACGTATTTCACAGCTCATTTCAAGACTCCGCTCTGCTGCAGCGCAAAATAGAGCAACTGCCGGCCCGAGTGCGGCTCCAGGGATACCCGAGATTGGAAGGGGTGTGTCTCGACACGTCTCCAAAGGCAGCGTAGGAGGACGGATTCACGTTCAGGGCTCTTCCGCGAACGTCACTCATACTATCAATGAAGATGAAAGAACTGAGTTCACCAGACACATCAACGCTGTCCTTGCTGGGGATCCCGATATTGGCCATCTGCTACCATTCCCCACTGACACTTTTGAGATGTTTGATAAATGCAAGGACGGATTGGTCCTAGCAAAACTTATCAATGACAGCGTCCCAGATACCATTGACGAGCGTGTCCTGAATAAGCCTGGGAGAAAGATCAAGGAACTAAATGCATTCCATATGACTGAAAATAATAACATTGTGATCAATTCGGCCAAGGGAATTGGGTGCTCTGTGGTTAACATCGGAAGCGGCGATATCATAGAGGTCCGCGAGCACCTGATCTTGGGTTTGATTTGGCAAATTATCCGGCGAGGTCTTTTGGGCAAGATTGACATCAAGCTTCATCCCGAACTCTATCGGCTTCTGGAGGACGACGAAACGCTAGACCAGTTCTTGCGCCTCCCTCCAGAGCAAATCTTGTTGCGTTGGTTCAACTATCATCTGAAGAATGCAAAGTGGGACAAGAGGTAGGTTGGGCCGCTTTCAATATAAGAATTTCCTGCGAAATAATGCAGCTCGCTGACCTGTTTTCAGGGTGACGAATTTTTCCACCGATGTCAAAAACGGTGAAAACTACGCTGTCCTCTTGAATCAGCTGGCTCCCAATTTGTGTTCGAGAGCTCCGCTTGAGACTCGGGACCTGCTTGAGCGAGCAGAGCAAGTTCTGGCAAATGCAGAAAAACTAAACTGTCGAAAATTCCTGACTCCTTCGTCTCTTGTTGCTGGAAACCCCAAACTTAACCTTGCATTTGTTGCCAATCTGTTCAACACGATTCCAGGTCTCGACCCAATAACTGAGGAGGAGAAACTCGAGGTTGAGGATTTCGACGCAGAGGGAGAAAGAGAAGCTAGAGTGTTCACCTTGTGGTTGAACTCGCTCGATGTCCAGCCCCCCGTCAACTCGTTGTTCGATGATCTTCGAGATGGTACCATTCTACTTCAAGCCTACGACAAAGTGATCCCTGGCAGTGTCAACTGGAGACATGTTAACAAACCGCCTAGTTCTGGCGGCGAGATGATGCGGTTCAAGGCTGTGGAAAACACCAACTATGCAATCGAACTTGGAAAGCACATCGGGTTCTCCCTTGTAGGGGTACAGGGTGCGGACATTACCGACGGACAACGTACACTTACGCTGGGACTAGTTTGGCAATTGATGCGGAGAGATATAACAAACACCTTGTCTAGCCTCGCGCAGCGAATGGGCAAGCGTGAGATCACCGATGCCGAAATGATCCGGTGGGCAAACGACATGTCCCGCAAAGGAGGCAGAACTTCGTCAATACGCAGCTTTAAGGACCAAACCATCGGCACGGGACTTTTCCTTCTTGATGTTCTGAACGGGATGAAGAGTAGCTATGTTGACTACGAGCTCGTCACGCCCGGCCGATCAGACGAGGAAGCGTACGCTAATGCCAAATTGAGCATTAGCATAGCAAGAAAGCTAGGCGCGACTATTTGGTTGGTTCCTGAGGATATTTGTCAAGTACGGTCTCGCTTGGTCACTACATTTATTGGTAAGTTGGGTCCTTCTCCCCACAGATGATGCCTACTAACTCATTTAAATAGGTTCTCTGATGGCCACATACGAGAAGATGCAATGATCAGCTCAGTACAATTTTGTTGCAGCTGAGACATAACATGAAACATGTCTGTCCCTGGTTCGCCAGAGATTCGGATATTTCAAGCCACCTTTATCTTGTACCTCATAACGTTACCACTTTGAGATGCATTGGTTACCTCGGCTCTAAGCTCTGCATGGATTATGATATTAGATGCAAAATTAGCTCTTCGATCCACATTATGTAGTGATGGTTCTTTTGTAATAATGGTTGTCTAATCTGACAGCAGTGTTGAGGATTATTCATATCTTAAGAGCCTGCATTGCGAATATCAATCTTACTAGTGAATAAAAATATCTATATCATAAGGTGGACTAGTGTTACTTTGAGCATTGTTCATAACAAAGATAATGGCTAAATAATAGATCTCTGCAAGTAATTTATTAATAGAATATTAATATCAGGGGTATCATACATGACCTGGAACTACCTATCCAGTGATCTTTCATGACTGGCTAGAAAGTAGTTGCATGCATTCACTATTATGATTAATGAATATATATAAAAATTAATCTCCCGGGCAAACCACCCAGCAGGGAGGATGTTGGAAGATGTTAGTAAAGAGGGCGATAGCTAAGACACACCACCTAATCTTACTGATGAACCACTCCTTATTAGCAACACTCCCCTGATGTTAATAGCAAGACTAGGCATCATATATCCTGTATGGATCCAAGTATTCTAATTTCCCTACTAGGTAGCAATATGGGATACCCTTGCAATAGGCATTTAACATGTTAGATTTTCAACAGTATTTAACCACACAGGTAACTAGACTACACTATTTTGCACTTGATTAATTCTATATAAGCTGTGCTTACCCTGCTACTCACTGTACATATAACTATAATCACCATTGTGATGTCCCCTACTCTGATTTTCTATGTGATTCCTAGTGCAACAAAGTATGGAGTAGAAAGAGCTATTTCTTACAAGATAAGCAATTTCCTAGCCTATAAAGCTATGAAGCTATCTAATCATGTAATGCCTACCATCATGCCGTAGGCCCTCGGGTTTAACTCCTGTATAGTCGAGGCAATCACAGGCTTCTCCTGCGAATTCCTCAAAGCAGATGGGTGCGTCTTTAAAGTAGAGAGGTGTGTCAACTAAATAGGCGGTTCTGTCTCATTGCGATACTCAGGAGTCAGGAGATATCTGGCTCCACTGGAAAAGTGGATAATGCGTACGGTGGCAGGGGTTTCGCCCGTTCCGCCAGGGAAACGGACACTGCCAAATCAGCCTTGAACTTTCAGGAGCCGAGAATCATGTATCGGATCAGAATGACTAAGAATAATGACAAGAACAAGCAGGAACTAAGCCATTGACCGATGATCGAGTCATGCCCGTGTTGACGAACCCAAGCCTCACTCTCATATATCCATGGAAAAGGGAGGTACTGGGTGTACGTGGCGCCTTTCGGCTTGAGCTCGAGATGTCACTTCTCATGCTACGGACACTAAGAACGACCCGTATGGAGCATTGTGAATGATCAAACATCGAAAATGTCAAACATCCATTTTATATACACTGTTTCCATACAGGAGTTGGTACTTACGGCTACTTCTACTGG